AGTGACGCAAGATTTTAAAAAACAAAATAGAAAACACAACAATACAACACGATGACGCAAATCGTCTCACCTGTCCGGTAGAATCGGTGTGTCATGTTCCAACAAATATTCCACACACATTCAAATATTCACCAGGGATTTGGAGTCACTACAGAAGTTATGCATTTTTTTATAAAATGAACTCTGAGAGGGATATACAAATTTCTTGCACTAAAACATCCTGACTCATTCACACCCTCACACACGCTCCAGTACTCGCACACAAACTTTGTTTTCTCTCTCTGAAGCACGGCAAATAAGGATGATGTCACTCGGGGAATTCCCATATTGCCATCTTCATCACAGACATGGGTTTGATAAATATGCTTTGTGTGTGTGTCGAAATGCGAGTTTGCCGTGTAATCTGCTGTACGGGTTTGTTTTGATGCAGCCAGGAGCGCTTCGGTTTGCATGGCGAGCCGTTTTGAAACCGATTAACAATCCAAATGCTGCTGAAAGGGAGCAAATCTGGAATGTGGCGATGTGTTTACACGGCGCCAAAGAGAAAGTGATTGTTTCTGCGACTGAGCGCTGATGAAGAGCGAGACTGAAGCCGGAGGTGGACTCACGCTATCACTCTGCGGTCGGGGCCGAACTCGGCCTCATAGAACCCGTCTTTGCAGTCCTTCCCCACCAGGTCGTGCGGATGCGGACGGTATGGCTCATTCTTCGTCACCAGGTAGACGCGGACCTTGCCCTTTCCGCAGTAGTTCAGGATCTGCAGAAGCAAATCAAAGCTTCCTGAGATCTGCGAGCGACTTGTAGAGAAACTCTGGTGCAGAGTGGTGGCTGACCTGCAGGCTGGGATAAGTCCTGTTGTTGTCGGAGCTCTTTTCACCAGGGATGCTCCCGGCAGAGCGGCCCTCGCATTTGTACCGGAAGCGCATCCCCCTCTGCTTAGGTTGCTCAAAGATCTGGACTGTTGGCTCAGCCACTGAAATGAGGAAAGAGGAAGAAATCTGAGTGACTTTTTCCTCTCCTGTTGGAGGAACTGACTCTGCATTACATTCAGTTTGATTGGGGACAAAAATTGCAACATTTGTTCCATTTTCTGGTGCGGTTCGCTTTCACACTGAGCAGTTTGAAAAACCTGTTCACCAGCCTGGTGGCGCTGCACCAATAACTGCAGAAGGAAACGATATGAAGACATTGAGCGCAACTTCCCTCTTCACGTAATGTAAACAAAACGGAGCAGCGTCAGATTTTAGCAGTTGTAGGATTTCGACCCATTTCACCCTTTGTTCTGGTTGTATTTACCAAGAATGCCCTGCGCTGCAGTCCGCTTCCTGCTTTTGGAGCGGCTTCTGGTTCACTTGGTGTTCATATTTGGTTTTGAACCGGACCAGAATCCACTTAAACCGAACTGAAACCTTCCTTTGTAGGCAGACCAGAGTTAGATTGTTTGGCCCAAAGTCCAATTCACCAAACAAACTAAACTTTTTACACAAATGAACTACAGTTTGATTTAAAGTGAACTAAGTAAAGTTAGTGTGAATGAACCCTAAGACTGCGCCTCATTGAATTGATCTAATTTATACAAATTTTACAAACTTTTGTAGCTGATTATTAGATGGATAGACAAATGGACAACAGTACAAATATGAGAATACAAGGTTTGTATTTTAGGAAAACATGTTTTCCTAAAATATCAGATTTTTTTGGGGCACACACTAATATTGTGAAAAAAAAAAACTCTTCTCAAAGAACCCAACTTCAGCAGATTAAGCCATTTCTTCCATTAATCATGATGGGCAATGATCACATCCCCTTCTCCAACATCTCTCTGTCTAACCATAGCAACTGACAGAGATTTAAAAAGAAACTGCAAAAGCAAATGAGGTGGATTAGCAGTGATGGCGTCTTCCAGGACGTGGAATATCGTCTCTGTTGTAAAGATACTGAGCTGTTAGCATTTCAAACAGCAACAATCTTCAGTCAGAGGCCTCTTCAGAATCACTGCAGGACTGACTGTTACTGGAGCATCATCACCATCCAGAACGGATTAAGTCAATGTTTAATTTCCCTTTTGGGTAAATATGTACTTTTTAGATGTTTTTTTTAAAAAGGTTAAATTTTGATTGAATTTGAAAATCTCAACTTGAAAGTTTTAACTCAAATGTTGCATTTCACACAACAACAAGAACACAGCTGCAGACAATATCAATTCGTTTTAGCTGCTTTAGTTTCAGGGTTCAAATAACAGCTTACAGGTTGTCACAAAAGTTTATTTTTTTTATGACAGGTTTGATTAAAGATAAGAAAAAAAGCACAATTAAACTCTGGTTTTTGCAATTCTGGACGGATTTAGAAACGCTCACCACCATTTTTGCACAACTAAATTGAATAAACAGGCTTCTTTGCGGCTGCAAATCAAGAAACCGGAGCTCACTAACAAGTCAAACCTCATCCGTGTTGAAAAGAAATGGCATTTTTTTTACTCCTCTGCTTTGAAACAAAACTGACTGCACATGACACCCGTGTGAGAACGGAACCAAAACTGATCTGAGAAGCATTTTCTGTTCTTCACATATTACACTGATACAACCATACTAAGACTCTAAAAACCCAGTTTGACATGACAGCGGAGTGACTCTTTCCACCAAAAGGAAACAGATGCTTTTCAAACCAGCACAACAACAAATAGACACTTTTTAAAATTTGTTTTAAAAAAAACAAAACAAAACGATGGCATAAAAAAACCAGCTTGTTCTACAGGTACACAGCTGATCCTGCAGCTTAAATCCACCTAACCAAACATAAACGCATAAAATGATAAGCAGTGAAAGAAAAGCACTGGCCATCACAAAAAACAAGCAGAGTCTGAAAAAAAGTAATCCCTGCCAGTAAAACAAAAGAGGAAGTGAAATGACAGATTCTATAAATATAGATTGTTTTTTTAATACTTGCTGGTGGGAGAAAAACAGCAGCTTTTAAAGATAAAAATAATAAAAAGCAATAACACATTTAAATAAAATGGACTTACTGAGGTGTGGATCACCCTCTCGAATGGAGGGCATTAGAACTGAGGAGGGAAAATGTGAGATTTAGGGTCAAATATTTAAAAAGTAGTACCAATAACATTTGATTCAGCGCAGATTTTGTTAGCTTAAATAAAATAAACAGACTGCAGCAAAGCAGCAACTGCAAAAAAAATTATTATTTGTATCTAATTCTTCAGTTAAGACACATTTAACTTTTCCAGTTAGTATTATTTCAGTTTTTGCTATAAATTACTTCGCTATGTTTCCACAAGTTCTTCCCATTTTAGTGAATAAACCCTGGCGCTACTCACCGTCCATGGTGCGAACTAGTTTCCTACTCTTGAGTCGTGTTCTCCGGGTCGTGTTCCGTCGGAAAGACGCGGACTGAATGAGTGAGAGTGACTGAGCTCCACCAGTTTATGTTTTTCACCAAGAGATCCAGTAGGTGGGAATTCCCCTCCTCCGTCACAGATTTTTCCCAATGGACCAATCAGAAGCCTTGAAAGGCTCTGGAGAGGCGGGGCCTCGCCGTAGTGCAGGATGCTACTCGCTAGCTTGCTAGCACTTCCGTATCACTGAGCGACGATGACGAAAGGTTTTGAAACACCCCCGGTCCTAAATATGTCCGGATTACAAATCCGTATATAAAACTCACAGTTTTAAAGAAGTTAAAATATTTTTAAAAAGTAAATTTATTTCAGAAACTGTATCTCTAAGTGAAACACATTGTACAGGTGGGTATGATTCTAAAACCATATTTAAAATTTACATTTTGCATCATCCTAAACCATAAAAAATACAAATGTAGCCTCAAAAGTTTAAGTGTTATGTTTACATTTACCATTTATGTTTAGGGTAAATTTGACCCGTTTCAATTTTCGATTTGACCAAAGTGCAGGTTATATTTATTTTTTTTCCATGAAAGTTTGTGACTTTTCCTCATCTGGGGTCATAAACTTATGAGTAAAATCCAGAGTCTTTGATGTGTTGAGGAGTGTCTGCACACAATTTGTGTTCAAAGATGATGTTGGGGGTCATTTTGACCCAGACATAAAGTAGCCGTTTAAATACATAATAAACAGGCCTCTTTGGTTTTGATTGCCTCAGAATAGCTATTGAGAACCAGGTGTGTGTGGAGGAGGGACTTCCCCTTCCCTCTTCTTGTCACTTTTACATGCCCTGTCTTTGATAGATACATCCAAAATGAGCTCCAGAAGATTTACAGCTGAAGAAGCTTCATTGAAGATTTTGAATTGGGATAGCGATGTCGATGAAGAAATTTCAGAGACGGAAGATCCTTCAGAGCCAGAGGACAATGCTGTTGATGATCCAGATCATCATTTTTCCCAAGATGAGGAGGATTCAGAGGACGATTCTTCATCAGATGAAAATCAAGAAATGCAACAATCCTCATTCACAAAGGACGTGGACATCTAAAGATGGTAAGATCAGATGGTTATCAACACCACACCAAAGCCAAGGCAGATTGTCATCTTCTAATGTCATCAAAATGACTCCTGGTCCAACAAGATTTGCCGTCACAAGAGTTAATGACATTGAATCAGCATTTCAGCTTTTCATATCCCCACCCATAGAGAAGATAATTCTTGAGATGACCAACTTGGAGGGGAGACGTTTCTTTCAAGAAAAATGGAAACAACTGGATCCAACTGGCTTGCATGCCTACATCGGAATTCTGGTGTTAGCTGGAGTATACGGGTCGAAGGGTGAAGCAACTGCAAGTTTGTGGAATGAAGAGAATGGAAGACCAATCTTCCGAGTAACAATGTGTTGGGTTTATCAATCAGAGTCCTCTTCATAATCACTGCGAAACCGACTGCTACTGGAGATTCTTCGTTCCCACGGCGGCTCTTTGAAGACTGTTCAACACTTAATTTCCCTTTATCATAAATATTTCAATCAAGTAAATATTTAACAGCTGCAAATAAATAAAATAAATGAAGGAATAAAGGCAGACGGTTTTGTTTTTCTAAGGGGTTTAATGGATGTATGATTCATTTAAAGGAAGTGGTAAACACATACAAAAATACCCTTTCAATACATTTTAGAAACAAACATCTAAATGACTTGTGTTAAATGTTTCTGAACAGCAGAAATGAGTCGTCTGAAACCGAGTGGTGCAGATATTCCCAAAAAAAAAAAAAAAAAAGAAAAGATCTAGCTGCTATGAATGCTATTAAAACAAAAAGATCACATGGTACAAATATGCATATATAAATAATGTGATAAGAAAACCCCCAATAATGACAAAAGATGCCTTTTTGAAAAAAAAAAAAAAAAAAAAAAAAAAACAGCCCTCTGTACATTTTAGCTTGGGAAACTGATTCTGGAAAAAAAATAAAGAAGCATTAATGAAGAGCGTCAGTAGTAGCATCACTCGACATGTACATCAAACACAAAGCCACTCAGCGTCTACAGGCCGGGTCAGGGTGGTGGAGGGGGGGGGGAGTGGACACATCTCTGGACACCCCACCCACTCCCACTGACACCCCACTCAACCTGCGGACCCACAAGATGCCTTCTAAGAACCTCCACAGGAGGCGCAGAGGGTTAGCACCCGAAACAAAGGGAATATTCTCTCTCTTACACGTCAACACAGCCATCGTTAAACGCTTGCACACAGCCAGCCAGTCATCCAAAACAAAACAAAAATAAAGATTTTCTTAAACTACAAAAACAAAGCAAAAAAACGAGGTTCGGTTTGATCCGAAAGAGTCTTTACAGTCAGAGGTTGGAGAGAAACAGCTTCACGACGGAGTATTATGGCCACGCAATGAAAAAATGACAAAATAAAATTACAAAAATAAAGTTGTGATATGAGAAGGAAGTTGAAATTGTACCAGAATAAAACCCAAATAATATGAAAATAAAGTCAACATTTCAAGAAAAGGCAAAATAAAGTTGCATTAAGAGAATAAAGACACAATTCTACAAGAATAATGTCGTATCACAGTCATAATATCATGAGAATGAAGTCATTATATGAGAATAAAGTAATGAGGGAATAAAGTTGAAATTATGTGAGAATAATATGAAAATGTCAACATTTTGAGAATTGTAAAAATAAAGTTGGAATATTACCAAAGTAAAGTCAAATTACCAGAATAAAGATGTAATTTTACGAGAATAAAATTATAGTCCTGCAACTTTATTCTCAGAATATTTTGACTTTACTTTCATAATATCACTTTGGTTATAAAGTAACAATTTTACTTTATAACTAGTTCTCGCAATATTATTGACTATCAGTTAATTTTGCAACTTTATTCATGTCATTTTTGTATTATTTGAGTTTTCTTAGAGTGGCCCTAACACTCCGTCGTAACAGTTCAGATGTGGTGGATCCAGTTCTCCTGATTTTCTGCCTATTAGGTGGAAAAATGCCAAATTGGTATCAAACACATTCTGGTTGCGCTTACCTGCGGATCTTTACGCGGAAAACTCACCGAAACACGGGACAGAGACACGGTACGCAGCGCTGCGGCTGATCGTCTGTGATGTGATAAAGATAAAAACAACAAAACAAAAGAAACGACAAAACATTTCTATATTTCTGTCGTAAAGGCTGCTTGTTTGTTCTTACCGAACTCATACAGCGACTAAAAAACAAAAAAACAAAAAGGAAACATTCCAGGGATGGAGACGATTTGTTGGTACAAGCGATAAAGAAAAAAACAAAACAAAAATAAATTTTTTAAACTTTTTCTTTTTAGATAAAACTACAATAGAATAATCAAAAGACTTGATGATCTTTTGTTTTTGCGTTTTTTTAAAGACAAAAGGTTATGTACATCAACATTTACAGTACAGGTATGAAGGAAATGTGGGAGAATGACCAAACATGAGCTCTCTCTCTCTCCAGCAGAGTGAATAAGAAGAAGCGCCTATTTTTTTATTATTATTATAATTATTATTATTAAAACATCATCTGAAAAAGAAAGAAAGAAGAAAAAAAAGGAATCGGACATGAAGAACAGCTCATCTCCCATGACTATGTTTGTGAAACACAGATGGAAAAGGAAGAGGAGACGGAGTAAAAAACTGCTGCTGTAGTTCTCGTGTCTCTGAGCGGGTCAGCGCCGACCGCCGGAAGAAAACCCAAAACGTCTGCGCCGACGTTTCCGTCCTGCTGCGTCACGGTTCACAGAGACTGACCTGAAGAGGATCCAAAATGTCGCCGTTTTGGCTGGACCGCTGAGGGTCCGGCCTCTGAGGCGGCGCGGTTCACCTGCGGTCCGTTCAGGCTATGTGAATCCGGGCCTTCTCTGTTTCCTTCAGCCGCTTCGCCTGCTCCTCCACCGAAGGGGAGTGAGGTCGTTTAGAGGTCGCGCCGTTCAGCGGGTCGACGACTCGGCTGACCAGGGTGGGGATGGAGCTGCCAACAGGGGGCGCTGTGAGCTTAGGGGCCGCATGTTCTACAGAGGAAAGAAGATATTAGAATATACTGAAATTCAACAAATATATTAAATGTAAGCAACGCTCGCAGTTCAATTCAAATTTTTAGGGTCCCGATTCGATTTAGAAAAAAAGTTTTGATTTGGAAAAAACTTGAAACAAATCATTTTTGATTCAAAAATCATTTTTGAAAAATTTTCGAATCAAAGTTTCAGATCCAGAAACATTTTTGAAAATTATTTATAAATTTAGGAAAATTTAGAATTCTGAAACCATTTTTGAACCAGAAAATTTTCAATTCAGAAATTTTTCTGACTTGGGAAAAAAATCCAACTCAAAATTGAAACAATTTTCAAATCAAAAATCTGCATTCAGAAACAATATTGATTTGAAAGTATTTTAAGAAACAAATTTCAATTCAAAAGCAATTTTCAAAACATTTTGGATCCAGAAACTATTTGATTGAGACACCATTTCTGATTCCAACAATTTTCAATTCGGAAACCAATTTTTTTATTTAAACTGTTTAAACATTTGAAACAGATGTGTGAGATTCCACACAGCATCAAATTACATCCTTTTATATTTGAATAAAAATGTTTGTGTATAAAATTCTGTCACTTAAAGGGGAATATAGGTGAATTAGTTACTTAAAACAAGTTCTTATATTTAACAGAAAAATTCATTTTAAGTTACTTTTTGTCTTATTTAAAGTCTAATAAGATATTTGCACTAGAAACTAGACAAAAGCACTTGGTAATAATTTGTATTTTTCATATTTTGAAGCTCATATTTTCCATTTTTCTGTAAGGATGAGAGTTGGACACACTTGATCCGATGACGGGAATAGACATGCCCTTTTCTTCGCTGGCGGCCGGAGCGTCTTGGCTGAGCGTTCCCTCGAACAGCGGTGGCTTGGGCGGCGTGACGCTGCTCAGACACAAACAGAACCTCAGCGGCGTCGCCCAGAAAACCAGAAACGTTCGGTCGGGTTAAATCTGTTACTTGTGACGATTGAGCGCAAGCTTGATGGAGTTTTTCACGACGCGGCAGCTGTTGCTGGCCGGCAGCGGCGACGAGGCGTCGGGCAGCTCCATGCTGGGAAGTCTCTGAAAACGGCAACAGGGGCATTTAAAAACTAAAACTGAACCAAAACGTTTAATAAAACTGAGCTAAATACCTGCGTTCTCGAGGTATCGATGGTTGGAATGAGTTTGACCTTTGATCCAGAGTGAGGCGGCTGGCGGAGAAAAGAAGAAGAAGAAACGTTCTGTTCATCAACACGACTTTAAAAGATCCGATGGCGGTTTTGATACCAAAACATTGAGATTTTATCTGGAAACGGCTGAAAAACGATGAGTTCAAAGATTCAATTCACCCTAAATTTACTTCAGATAATTTATCCATAGAGATTCAACGAAAAAAACGACCAGAGGAGTTTCTGGAACGAAGGAAGGAGAGGAGAAAAGAAATAAAAAATAAAGAAACAAAGGAAAAAAAGAATAGAAAGAGTAAAGGACAGAAAGAAAGGAAGGAGAAAGAAAGAATAGGAAAAAAAGGATAAAAAGGAAGGAAAGAGGAAAGACATGATGGAAGGAAGAAAGGATGGAAGAAAACAGAAAAGACGACGATATGGAAAAAAGAAAGAAAGGAGGGACAGAGAACAATAGCAAAATGACGTAAGAAAAGAAAGATGGAAAGGAAGACAAGAAGGGTGGAAGGAAGTGTAGAAGTGTTTTTGTTTGGAGAAAACGGCTGTAAGAAATGAAAATTAAGACTTGAGGCTTTCTTTCCAAACATTCCCAACCCTAAATTAAAATCCAGACCATTGGCGTTGCAGCACAAAACAAAATGGAGGACGACTCACGGTGCTGGGCGCCTCGCCGTGAGGGCTGCAGTCCGACGACGGCGGGTACGGCTCCTTGAACGTCGAGTCGTCGCTGGGCGCTGCCTGCAGCCAAACACAAGAACCAGTTAGCTTCCCCAGTTAGCTTCCCTTGCACCACAACTCTGAACCGGTTCAGACTTACGTCCGCGTCCTTGTGCCTCTTGGCGAGGTCGTCCTGCGTGGGCGAGTGCGGCCTCTTGGCGGCGATCTCCTCCAGACCGTTGGGCTCCTCCTTGGGGCTGCTGGGCTTCACTGAGTCACTCGGAACGCCGCTGATTGACGATCCGGCGGGCGGCGAACAGCGAGCGGCGTCTGCATCGAGAGGAGAGATGCGTTCAGGGTCCACTGGGAAACATCAGTTATACAGAAGATGAAGAACTGAACACAGGAAATAATGCAGTGAGGAAACTTGTGACATCAGGGAGGAAGGAAGAAAGGAAAGAAGGATAGATGGTATCTTGAAAGGAAGGATAAACAGAGTGAGATGTGATGCATTCAGGTTCCACTGGAAACGTCAGTTTCTCAGATAAGCTGCTGATGCTCTGAGCTGTGATGTCGATCAAAGCAAAATCAGACGAACTCACCTTGTTCTGTAGCTGCAGCTGATGCAGCCGGCTCCGCCGCCGCTGCCGCGCTCGATGACACGGCTGCCGCGGCGGCGCTGGTTTGAGGCGTGGCGGCGGCTGCGCTCGGTGCTGGAGATGTCTCCAGGAAAAGCTGCTTTGGCGGACTCGCTCTGCGGACAGGGAGGGAACAAAGTCAACACCAGAGGTTTGGAAGGAACGAAAAATTTATTTTTTGCAAGACGTAAAACCAAAAACAATCAGTCCTCCAGGATTATGACTTTATTTTTTTTAATTGTTGCACCTCCTTCAAGAAGTTGCAGTCAAAATTGAATTTTCTTTTGTAAGTTTATTTTTGCCATAACATGGTTTGACAAAAACATTGACCTTTCTGCAAAAAGAGGAATTTTACATGAATATATATAATGCAAATAACATTTCCAAGTACTTCCTTAAAACAGAACCCTTAATTAGAGTTTGGTAGTAACTAGTTACATTTACTTGAGTAACTTTTTTAAAATAAAAAATAAAAACAGTACTTTTAGGAGAATTTCTACTCTTACTGGAGTAAAATTTCTGGATTTTCTAGCCACTGAATGAAAAACAAAATTATTTGAACCAACATTTCTCCAGACTCAGAGACGTCTTCCTAAAGTTTCATCAGTTTTTCATCGAAAGAAACTCATTTGGAAAAAACTTATCTTTTGTTACTTCTATGAATAATTGTAACTTCCATCCTTAAAATACCAAATTTTCCACTTAACTTTATATTTTGGTTCATCTGATGGTGTAATTTTTAAATATTAAATGATAATTCGATCAGTTACTCAGTACTGGTTGAGCTACTTTTAAGTACTGGTAGTAACAGATTTGTGGATAAAATCTGCAGTTAAACTCCACAGAAGAAGAAAAAGAAACATTAAGGAAATTAAGGAAACTTGCGAATAACGAGGGAATTTGCATCAACAGTTGCGATCTCGGCTTCCTGGAGGAACAGAACGGAGCGTTTAAAAAGTAAGCGCACCCTTCGTCTGTGTCCGACGCGGGTTTGAGGGGTTTGCTACTCGGGGAGCTGAAGGGCGTCCCCGAGTCGGTGTCTCTGGAGCTGTCCAGGTGGCTGCCGTCCAGGGAGATCCGCTTCGAACTCCCACCGTTCGAGCTTCGGTTCAGGTCCGCTAAGCTCTGCGGAGGAGAAGAACAAAAGAATCAACGAAACGAGAAACAGACGCGGGAAACGATTAAAATACAGCAAAACAACAAACCCTTTTCTTCTTCTGCACCAGTTCGGGGGGGAGATACTGATGGAGCTGTTTCTTCTTCACGTGCGTCGCCTCAATTTTCATCCCGTCTTTCAGCATGTTGATGTTATTAGCTTGTCTGTATACTACAGGGAAACGCATGGAATTAGCAATGGAGGGATAAAGTTTCATACATTTTTTAATCAAAGAAACCAATTTAAACAAATTATTTTGCCTGATTTTGTTACTTACCCAAGTTTCTGTCATTTTGGTGCTTAAAGTACCAAAATGTCCACTAAATCTTTATATTGTGGTTAATCTGATTATGTAATATTTGAACATAAAAGGATTGATAATTTGATCAGGTGTTCAGTACTTGAGTAAATCTTTTACCAAATAACTTTTTATTCTTTTTGCTACTTTTTGGACGGCTACTTGTTACTTTTACTTGAGTAAAAATATGTTGAAGTAGTGCTACTTTTACTAATTTTTGGGGACTCTGCCCCCCTACAAAAACAATCCTTGCTGATTTGGATTTGTGATTCCAATGTTTTACGAAGTAAAATTTTTAAATAAACCGAGATTTATTTAAAAATTCAATAAATAAATCAATAAAAACCCAGAATCAGTGAAATGAGTGGATCATGATCAGTGCATGTAAACCACTGATCTAAGCCAATCTACGCCAGCGTCTGGAGGCCGTACCCGTGTCTGTGAAGGACTGGATGTCAAATGTAAGGTCGATGTTCACGCTCTCTGCGTTCTCCACCTTCTTGAAGATGATCCCAATAAACCACATGGAGACAAAGTCGTTCCTGCGGCAGAAAAACACTCATTTTAGCCGTTTTCAGGATCCAACCCGGACTTCTCATCAGCGCGGGGACTCACTCGTTGCGGTTCTCTTTGGAGCCGGGGAAAGACTGCGGGTTGACGTGAGCCAGCGTGATGTACTCGTTCCTCTCCAGGTTCCCCACCAGAACGCGGATCTTCGACTCTACGAGGCCGATCCTGGGGAGAAGCGTTGATGAAATTTAAGTTTAACGGATGAACTCTGATCTGCAGAAAACCTTTATATGGCTTAGAAATAAAATCAGATTTTCTTTAAAAAGAAATTACAAATGACAAAAAACATTTTTAAAAACTGGTTTTGTTTCAACCTTCCTTTCTGAGAGGAAGGTTGAAGGTATTTTTTACTTTTATTTTTTAAAAGTAAAAAATAAAAAAAATATTGTCAAGATGGTAGCTCTACGGTGAAATAGGGAAACATAATAAAACTGACAGATTTTCCAATATTCAAATTTTAAAAAGAAGAAAAAAAAACCCCAGAAATTTTGTTTAAAATCAATAAAATTAATTTTTCAACCACAAAATTGAAACAAAACCTCTGCAAAAATAGATGTTGCAATGGCCTAATCAAAGCCCAGACAGATATATATAGAGTTCTGGAAAAAATTCAGAGACCATTTTAAATGATCTCAGTTTATCCGATTTTACTTTTTATAGGTTTATGTTTGAGTAACATGAAATTTTTTCTTTTATTCTATGAACTACTGACAACATGTCCAGTGCAGTGGCGCCGTGAAACATGTTTGTTTCTGGCTAAGCTGAGCTCAGAGTAGAAATGAGGATCACCAGTAACACTTACCATTCTAAGTGGTTTTCTTCTGTGGATGCACTGGCAGTAAGAACAATGTAATGCCTGTCGGAACAAAACACGTTTAGAGAAACCTTAAAACATTCTAAGTGATCACTGATCTGTCAAAGGTCGGGAAGTAAAGAGTTAAGCCTCATGAACTAGATTTGATCCGTTATGTAGGCCGTCCACATTTAATTCTGTAACAACTTTTTTTCATTGCGTTTGAATATTTTTGAATGAAGGAAACCTCTTCCTCAAGCCTTCTGCTTGTGCGAGATACATCTGAACAAAAACAAACAATGAAGACGTACTTGTACTTCTGGAAAAAGTTGGGTGGTTCAAAGAGCTTCGGCCATTCTGCTTTGCCTTGCAGAATCTCGTCTGTGACGCTGAGACCTGTTCATGACAAACAGACAAGTGACTCCAGGTCAAATTGAGGGACAAGTCTCCAAGTTCGATCCTCCAGAGCCAAACACTCACTCAGCTCCTACAGACTAGCGGCAGCAGCAATTAGCAAATACCTGATGGAAAAGCTCGTCATATCAGTCCTAACAACAGTTCTAAACGGCTTCATGGAGGAGCATTATTGTGATGACTTTCTTAAAGAGACAAATACCCAATTTCTTTATATTTCTTTTAAGTGTTTTTAATAACAACTGAAGGATTTGGCTGTATTGTGTCATTATGTGCCTTGAAAAAACCTAACAATCCCTCTTTAAACATACTTTTCATTAATGTTTTTGTTTCTAAAAATATATATCAATGGTGTTGTGTTATTTTCTAACTTTAAATGTCATGTTTAACATTAACTGTGTGTTTCACTTTATGATAAAAGTTCCTGATTGGGTTTTCGGTAATATTTAAATTTCAATACTTATTTAAACAAATTTTCAATAAATATTTAAAATGTAAATATTAAATGCAATTCAATTCACAAATGATTTTTTCTAACACAATTTATGACATTTGCAGTTTTTCAAACACTATGAAATATTAAAATATTTTTGGCTGTGATGTTAAAATAAAGTCGAGATCACTATTTGAATATTAGATTTTTTGTTATTGCACAATAACATGTATATCAAAATAAATAGTAATGCACAACAGACAACACAACAGACAACACTAGGCAGAAATACGATCTCCCAGTTTATGTGAATTCTGCTTTTGGTTGTTTAATTTTATTTAATAAAGTGACACATTTTAGTAGATTAAGCATCAGTTGTATTGGATTTATCACAGCTGGCAAGCCTAAATTTTTTACTTTTTTAAAATAACAGCTTCAATAATTGCAATCAAGTTTACTGTAATAAAATTTTGTCCACGTATTGTTCCAGCAGGGTTTTTACAAAATACTTGGCGAAAATATACAAATTTTGTCTAAATCGAGCAATAAAAAACTGTAAAATAAGTAGTTTAGAGAAATCTTAAAACATTAATGTTTAATAAGACAGGACGTTTTATTGCCATACATCCAGAGCGAAAGCGTTTGGATTGTTTACATAATCAACAACAAACTTGCGACACATTCAATGTCTCCGGGAAAACAAAGCAGCGTTACCGTGTTTGAACTCCTCCGTCATAATGGTGCGTGTTGACGTGGAAACGTTGTAGGTGGAGTTCTGCTGGGGGTAGGCGGGCGTGATGATGGGCATCAGGTGGTATCTGTCAGACGGGTTCACCTTAAAAAAAAAAAAAAAGAAAAAAAAAAAGAGGAACAAGAGTTGGTTTCTCTTTACAGGCGAGAACTTAAACACAGACACACCAACGCTGCCGGACAAACTAACTTATGACCACTTCCATGTTTTTACTACATGTGGATAAATTATAAACTTTATCGCCGCAACAGAACTGAGTTAGAGCTCTTCCAATAAACTATGTTATGCTATAAAATGACTTGTCAGTCAACTGTATTTGTAAAAGACATTTAAATATAAACAAAAAATAAACAAATGGGGAATAAATCATTAAGTATGAATATGGCGTAATTTACAGGTCAGAACTACATTTGGATGTTTATTGTTTATTTAAACAGTAAAACATTACAATAACAACAAAAAAAGAACAAAGTATTACAATTTTGTTTACTTCTTTAATTAATTTCTCCAAGTCTTCATCTCCCAAAAAAGCTTTTGCATATTTTAGAAATGTTTTCCATGACTTCTCATTCATTTGGACTAAATTAAAATAAGACAGACAAATTATTCAAACACATTTATTGCTGAAGAAACACAAAACTTTACACAAATGTTTGAAGAAGTGAGTTTATTTTAGGTAGCAGGATTTATGAGAAAATAAACATTTATTTCTTTTTAACACAAGTACCAGCTCACACCCTGGTTGAGAAATAAAATATGCTGCAGCGCCCCCTGGTGTAGAAATATATTGAATACAAGTAAGTAAAAATCAAACTGGGCCAAATAAAGAAGAGTTTTTAGCATTAGCATGTCTACATTAAATCTAATTTACAAATGTACAGATGCAACTTTGTGAATTTCAATTTTACACGTTGTTGAATCGTAATAATTCAATTAAAAAAGTAAAATTTAATACGGATTTGTTACACAGAGTGATAAATGTTTCAGCTAATAAACCCCTAGTTTCTAAAAGAAATTAGTAAAATAATAATAATTACAGAACACTAATAAAAATACATTCTGGATATATCTTTATGTTGAAGCTGCAGTGAATCGCAAAAACTCTTCATCATGATTTTTGCAGTTGATCTGTTACTTGTGCACCTTTTCCTTCCACTCAACTTTCCAGAGTTCTTTGCTGCAGCACTCTGAAACAGCCAGTTTCTACATAAATTACTCTTCAAAATGATCAAAAGATTTCGGGTAATATTTTCCGGAGAACGTGAATCTTTTCTTTCGCAGTAAGGCCCATTTATAAAACGCTACAGGAATAATAGCCTGTAATACATCATTCTGTATCTAATAAATCTTTAAGCCAAGTTTCACTTTTTAAATTGAAATAAATCGGTTATTTCAGAGTCTTTTCTGCAGTTCTTGTTTATTTTTATGAAATGGCTAAAGTTGCGTTTTGCCTAGCAGAATAAAATGCAGCTTCTCCCTAAAACCCATCCAGAAACAAACCACCGCTCATACTCACTCTGGGGTCCCAAACAGGTAAATTGAGATTACTGTCCTCAGGTTGTTTCAGTAGCACAGGATTCGGCCACTCCCTGCAGAGGGGAGAAATTACAAAAACACAGCAAATAAATGCTGGAGAACTGATATTAACCAGAGGTACGATGAACCTCTGAACTCACCATTTTGAGAAAACCAGGAAGAACTTATGGACAAGTGTGGCGGCTACGGCGTTGGGGTAGAGCTGGCAGGTCCGGGCCACCAGCATGGCCCATGAAACTCCACCCAGAAAACCCAGGATGTTGGAGTAGATCCCTCGACCTGCAGCCACAAAGATTGCAAGAAACGTTTGGTCGTAAATATCCCAAAAACTGCTTTCAAGTAAGAGCATCACTACTTCAATATACTCCTACACAAGCAAAGGTAAAAAAGTATTTGGTAATTACAGAGTGGATGATCATTGATGATTAATTTATAAGCTCTTATGATTATCATAAATTATTTATTATTATATAGATAAATTATTTACTTATTGTAATAATCATTTAATATTCAAAAATTACATCACAATATCAAAATATATCAAAATATAAAATAAAGTGGACGTTTTGGCATTTTTAGGACCAAAATGGCAATAATTCATATAAATAACAAAAAATTAAAAAATGAGGCAAAAGAAAAAAAATTCCAAATCAGTTTCTTTCAATAAAATAGATTTAAAATCTAGGAACTTTACTCAAGTAAGAGTAGAAATATTTGATAATAAAACTACTCAAGTTCAAGTAAAAAAGTATACTGTAGTAAAAATACTCGTAAACAACAACAATACCCAACCAAATGTAACTGGGTTATTACCCAGCTCTGAATTCGCCTCAAACATTTTATCAGGTGTGGATTTACTTACGTTTCGCCCAGAGTTTGATGGCTCTCAATGTCAACCTGAAGTTCTCTTTGTTTGGCACAAGGTATAAAATTTCATCCGTTACTCGACAACCTGCAACAAAAAAGTCTAATTAATAAACTCAAAGCACCAGGACTCCATCCAAACGCGGTCCGAGCTGCGCTGCGTACCGTTGAGGCTTCGGATGCACCGAATGTCCAAGTTCTTCAGGATGGAGTCGCCCCTAAGGTCCAGGTTGTCTGGAATGGACTGTAAGGCTAATCTGGCAAAAAGCAGGTCAATCTGCAAACAATAACCGTGACATTTTGTGATACTACTGTAAAAACAACACAAAAATTTTTAAATAAAAAGGTAACTGGTGTGGCTGTGATTTTATGGCTCACCTCAATCCCATCAAATTTGAATTTTATCACCGGTACAAAAGCATCTTCAACAGCCTTGGGGAAAAGAGAAACAGATAAAAACATAATATAAAAACTTTCACTTAAAAACATACAAAGGTTGTTTAAATACTGACCCTGAGGTCCTTGATCTCTTCGTGCTGTTTCAATTTCTCAAAGAAAGACTGGAAAAAGTCTGTTCTCTCTACGTGCCGCGGCGCCACACACAAGGCATCAATATCAGCTCCTGCAACGGCGCAAATAATAATAATAAACGGCATCTAAATGTTCTCAAGTTCAACAATTACAACATTTTTAAAGCCTTTGACATTGAAGAGCAGATATTAATCTCCAACAAGTGAAATAAAAAATGAGGACACATACTGGCCAACACACTGCCTCAACAGTGTAAACATTTCTCAGTATTGGTTTATTATCATCAAGACATTCGATGAATATTCTACAAAAACATACGGAAAAATAATTTATCCAAAGATTTAAAGCTGCAGTACAAAACTTCATTAAAAAAAGACTAACAAAACTTTACTTATTTGTTGTAACGCTCAACATAATCTGTTAAAAGATTGTCAGGGGGCGGGGCTTAGCGGTGCCAATTAACTTCATGTACCTGCTGGTAATTATGCTAATGTCAGAGAAACAGCGTTATCATCTATGGCTATGCTAACTAGCCTTAGCATTCACAACAAGCTATGCTAGTTGCAGTGAAACAGAGAGGAAGGGAAACAGGGTGATTAGCAGCACTAAGACCCGCCTCCCGGTTCTGATTGGTTGTTTCTACTGGGAGAAGGAATAGGAGCTTGACTTTTTTAATAGATTTGCTAATATCAAATCAAAGAAATCAATTAGTTTATTAAGTAAATTAAGATTAATTTAATACATTAATATTTATAAAATTAGTAAATTTTATAAAAAAATTTAATAACTTTTTTACATTTGTACTAATTTAATAATTAGTACAAATGTAATCTGTATGAACCAAATTAATTTAATATTTTAAAAAAATTAATACAAATTTAATAAATTCATTTTAGTACTGATTTATTAAATTTGTACTAATTTAATAAACTTATATTTCACCATGGCAGACTCAGCAAATATGTAAAATGAATATATTTCATTTTATGCAAGTCACATACTGCAGCTTTAAGATGAAAAATGTCTTTGGCAAAAAAAAACAACAAAAAAAAAAAACTCAACTATAAGGCATTTAAAAATATTTGACATATTTCATATTTTGTTGGACAGACAGTCTTAGTAAAGATCCTATGCAATGTTTTATAAATGAAACCCATGAGTAACATTCTTTTAAAAAATACTCTTAAAATCCTAACAACAGCAGTATAAAATAAATGTATTTCCTCCATTATATAGCTCTGGAAAAATTAAGAGACCATTTAAAATGATCAGTTTCTCTGATTCTACTTTTTTATAGGTTAACGTTTGGATAAAATGAGCATTATTCTATGAACTACTGACAACATGTCTCCTAAAGTACCAAGCAAAAATTCAACGCAAAGAAGTCAAGTTTATATTCATTTAGAAACAACAATACTAATGTTTTAACTCAGGAAAAGTTCAGAAATCAATATTTGGCGGAATAACCAAAACGTTTCAATGAGCTCTTCATTTTTTCCAGAGCTGTAGGTGAGTTTTGCATGCATATATTTGACCTTTTGCAGTTGCTCGTGTTGTTTTCTGAGCAGATGGACACAAACGGTTTAGTCCTCACTGACCACAAAAACACAAGAACAAAAGACTCTAACAAAGCAGGCCAGAGCTTCTAATGAGCCGACAAACTGAGCTTTTAAAAACACAATGGATTCAGATGCCTGCTTGTAACTCTGGCTGAATGCTCCATCCCTTTTCACCGCAAAGTCAAAAAGAACCGACACCAGATGAGCACATCTTGTTGAACTTTGAGCTAAAATATCTGCTTTGATGGCAAAAAAACATTACAGCATTGTGTTCTTAAATCTTTCTGATTTCAAAGAATTTACCGCCTCCTCAGGTTCTGCAGGATATAAATAAATTACAAAGTAGAATATAAATTAATGTGAACTGAATAAGTGCAAGGAACTTAAAGGACTGGTTGAGCCAGAATGCATTGATAAAACTTGTTAAATTCTTAAAATTAATTAATGTTGGACATCTTTTCAGTCCATCCATGATTTTGCGATTCTTTTTGTGATTTTTTGCAATACAAATCAAAGTGTTTGTGCTATTAATTTGAAAATACTTACGCATTTATGACAGCAAATGCGACTTTTTATTACTCGCTGTAGATTGTGGACTCTAATCTGACAGCAATAAAGGCTGAGGCAGCTGTTTAGTACAAGGAAGAAAGTTTTTAATAATTTGAGAAAAATCTGCAATTTAATCAAAATGATGTATTTGCCCAAACAGGTGCAGTGATTTGTTGATTTTGCGTGAATTTCCACGATAATTCTCAAGAAACTGGAGGGATTGACTGATATAATTTGGCAGTAAACGAATAGAAATTTATTTCATTGATAACATATTATTTAAGCACATTTAGTATCTAGAATCTAGAGGGCCAGATGATAAGCTATGCGAGGGCCAGATGATAAGCTATGCGGGCCAGATGTGGCCCGCGGGCATCGAGTTTGGCACCTGTGAACTAAGCAACACGGCTTTAGCTTTGACTATGCCACAGCGATAACGACGTACCTTTTGTGTGAACTCCAAGTCTGTATGAACCAAACGTAAAAATTTTTCCTCCAACACAACTAATAGCTGATGGTGGAAGGTTCTGCAGGACAGAAATAGTGATTAGTGAGAGAAAACGATGGCAGAGCTGGCAGGATCAGCACCCAAGAAACAGACAGACGTACCTTTAATTCACTGATCTCTGCGATCCATTCTTTAACTAAGTTATTTAACTTTCCAAGAACAGCGAGTCTGAAAGGAGAAAGAGAAGTTTAGCATGGGCATCTTTACAAAATCAGCTATTTTATCAAAAATGTAGATGGGAATAAATTAGCATTTTTAAATTAATTTAACAGGTTGCAAATAGTTACAACTCCCAGCAGCAACACAGGAATAAATCACTGCATAGTAGGACATTTTCAAAAAAAAAAAAAAAAAAAACACATGTAGGGTTTTACCCTAAACTCTGAGCAGTAATGTAGTTTAGAAAAGAAATGTTGCTCCGAAAGAGGCCTGTCACAATAACAAATCTCGCTAGACCATAAACTGTCCCAGAGGTTATTACAATAAACAATAATATTGTTGTTTTGAAATCATTTTCAAATAATATAATGCAAGAACACAGTCTCAAAGATCAATAAAATTTAAATTTTAATGAACATTTTACACTGGAACTGGAAGACATTGTAAATATGTGAGATGAATAAAACAACAGAAGTACATAAAATTAATTACAAAGTATCTGTAAATAAAATTATCCTTTAAAAAAGGAAACTCGTTAAGACAAAAGCACCAGACTGAAGACTTTTACCAACCACTTTTTGGTAGAAAGAGAGAAAAGAGAAAAATGTTAAACTATACAATTTGAAATTATTGAGTTGTTTTCTATTTATCGTGTGATTAATTGATATATTGTGACAAGACGTCTCAGAAATAAGCCTAATGTATCCATATGTGTTGTGGTCAGAGGAAAGGCATTCAAAATGTTGAAAGATACCAACAATTAAAAATGTAAGCTGAGCTTTACTGTTGATGTCAGAAGTATTTTTACCTGCATAATTTGCTACAGATACTAAAGCATTCACTAAACTGCTACATTGTTGCAATAAAATGTTAATTTTCTCATGTAAAAAAAGCTAATATTTTTATTTTTAATATTGTATAAAAAAGGCTAATTTTTTAAGTGAAACTTCTCCAGAATGTTAATTTTTAAAAAATCTGATCAATTAAATCTATTTCTAAAATAATTATTCTTTCCTGCAAAGCCTACTGGGAGTTTTCTTATGGAGGTTTTCCAAGCAGGTCACACAGGAAAGAAACCCCAGATCAGACAGATTTTATATTTCTGCTGACCTGAAATCACCCGTGTTTCTCCCAGATATGAGCGGCAGAGTATCGCGAGCGAGAAAAGATATATCTGGGTTTTCCTCCTGGACTGGTTCCCTTCACAACCCAACTATAGGCAAAGCAGAACTCAAACTATGTGTTGATAAGCAGTGATGCAGCAACTGCTGAAACGCTTAATCCGATTAATCGATTACTAGAATGATCATCAATTAATTTAGGAAACAATTAATCTTTAAATGGAGTATAAAGACTCTGGAAAAAAGGCATGTGACGACAAAAAAAGAAGAAAAAACACTCAGAGCAATAAATAAGCCAAAAATGTACACAAAAATGATAAAATTTGCATTAAAGGTAAAAATTTTTTTTAAAAATTTTGTCAGCTTTTATTTATACTTTAGTTCTATTCGTTGTCTGTTTAATTATTAATATTTTTGTATTTTATTTTCATAGCTTTAATATTTGTTTTATGTTATGATGGTGTAAATTATGACACAATTTGGTCAACAGCTGTTTTAAGTGTAATTTGACATTGATATAAATATATTTGAGCCAAAAATCAAGTGGTAGTTTTAGTTTTATGCTACACTGTTGATATTTATAGCATAAAATGTTTCAATTTCTTATTTAAAGAAGGAAAGATTAATTTATTTGCATCTTTCAATGTATTTCTAATACTGTATAAAAAAGATACTTAAATTGTTATATAAAAAAATCTGCAGAATTGCCATTTTTAAGTGTGCACACTTACAGCTAAGGACAATTAATAGTGAGCATTTAACCAAAAACATTTATTAACTTGAGAAATTATTTTGGCTGGCTCTTTAATGTTTTTCTGTCTTTCTTTTTTTTTTTAACAAAAACAAATATTGCTAAATGATAAATTGCCCCGGTAATTATTGCGATAAATAATAATATTGTTGTTTTGACACCATTCTCAAGTAATTATTTGATGACATAATACAAGTTCACTTTCTTAAGGATAATTAAAGTTCAATTTTGTAAAGAACACTTAACTCAGAGATATTTTAAACAAATATAAAAAACACAACTAAGCTTGTTGTAATAAGCAATTAATCCCATAAAAATTCTAATTAATAATTATGAGGGAAATTTTGTCTACAGAGACATCGCAATGCAGGGCTGTTCAAACTTTTTGCTAAATCAAAAATTCTTATGGTCTGATTTTTTTTTTAAATCAACCAAATAAAGTTTCCCAATATTTTTTTTCTGAAAGGGTTTTTTTTTTTAAATTGTAGACGTAAATAATTTTTTTAATGATTATAGGCTAATTTGAATAACTTAAGAAATAAATTAAATGCTAATTAATTTATTTAATAAATTAAAAGCTGGTTTGGGTGCAACAAATGTGGCTTTTCAGTACAAAACAAAAGATTTGTTATAAAAAGATTTATTCTTCACAAAATTAAAGTTTACTGATTTTTGAAAGTGTAAACATGCATTACTTTAAAATGGTCTAAAAATAATATTATCGTTAACGTGATAGTTTTTATGGCAATATATTGTCCAACAAATTTTTTAATGGTGACAGGCCTAAATATAATAACATAAAACAATGAATAAAACAAAAATAAAAACGTCCACACAACCGAAACCATAAATAAAATGGATTGCGAAATCTTTAACGAAATCGCCCCACAATAAAATATCAGAATGATTAATTGTGACAGGGTTACAATGGAGAATGGATTGATGTGGTTTAAAGTAACAACCTGTGGTTCAGTTCCTCTTCATCCTCAAAGACACCAAAAGGTTTCATAGCATCACAGAGTTTCTTGGTGTACAAATGGTCTATTTCTCGTGGGGGAGCCAGGCTGATGGCGGAGGTGATGCCATAGTGTTTCTGAGGCTGCTGCCCACCAGGCATGGCGCTGCGAGCGAGAAAAAATAAAAACACACATCAAATTACTATTTATTCAGGTTTCTACAGCTTGAACAAAACAGTCGAGACATGCAAATAAAAAGCAATAATTGATGGAAAGTTAGTGTTCAGAAACGGTTGTTTTAGGTTTTCCTTCAAATAAAAAGTGATTATATCAACAGGAGTTTTGAGTCATTTAGTGAAGTATTGATATGTCCCAACAGGAAAAAACTTACTAAATGTTCACATTATTTAGAGAATAGTTTTGATTCCTAAGAATTGTTTTTGATCAAGTCATGTCCATGAGAAATGTGGTAACCACATGCGTGTTTAGTTTTCTTTTTTTCCCCCATCAATGAACCTGCTGCTGAATTTCATGTTTTAATGAACTAAATGGTTTGCTAAAAGTTTGAACTGAATTTATTAATTTTGGATCTACAGAGGAACAATCACAGCTTCAGTAATTAACCTAGAAACTAGAGATCAGGCTCAAAATCTGAGTGCCCTGATGGACTCAGACTTGAACCTTCGGAACACATAAAGGTAGTTACAAAGTTGAGCTCCTATCAGCACATTTCCAGGATTAAAGCACTTTCTTTAGATCAGCGAGATCTAGAGAAACTCGTACATGCTTATCATTAGTTGCACTGATTAGTTTAACTGTGTCCTCACAGGTCTGCCTTAAAAAAAAAATCAATCAGATCCAAGACGCCGCTGCCCACTTACTCACTAACACTGGAAAAATAGAGCACATCAACCACTTTTTAAATCACTGAATAGATTAGAGCTAAATTATATTAAAGATCTGCTCTTGTTGTATCAAGCTTCTTCAGGTTCAAGTCGAATCTCCAAACATGGAGAAGCAGCGTTCGGTTTTTATGCTCCACAAATCTGAAATAAACTTCCAGAAAACTGCTGAAACACTGACCTCCTTTAAATCAAGGATACAACCGATATGCTTAAACTTTCCTTTGATTTATAACAGAGACATTAGTTTTGGTCTGCAGTACAACGATTCCTGCTTTCCTTACTTATGCCACTGCAATCTTTTGGTATTTTCACTATATTTTCATTATGAGGAGAACTTTTAATTGCTGTAGTGCCTTACTGTGTATGCATGTAAAAAAAAAAAGTAAACTGAAGAAAAATGTGAACATGTGCTTTTCTAGCCCAAGCAAAGTGTGTTATCAAAAAATACATATATATCTTAATTTTCAGAATTTACTTTGGCAAAACTTATACACACTATTTTCAGAAGTTCACTATAACATTTAAACTATTATAATCTAAAGTAGCAAACTTGACCTAAATGTGAATAGAGAAACATTACAACTGAATTAACAAATTTTTCCAATTTTGATATAAGATATTAGTGTAAATTGAGTGACATTAATCATCTCTGAAGTCAAAATTAGAAAATGATGCAAATGATGTTTTGACGTACGACAACAAGAATTCACAATATTTGGATTTTCCACGTTTCAGGAATCATAATTCATTAAACATTTAATGTCATGATACAATAAACACTTATAAAAGTTTGGATTTTTAGCTTCAATTTTCAATTGTGAAAATAGAATATTTAAAATTGCCATTAACTTATATTTATTACAATCACTGAAAAGTGAATAAATTAAAAGATAGTTTGCTGAAAACATTGAAAATAATTTTTTGCTAATTTTTTAATCAACACTTTTGTGACATAACAGCTCAGATTTCAAAAACACTAATAAACTCAGAATTTTATATTTTTAAAAGACAACTGTTTTAATTGTAACCTGCACACATGATTTTGGCATCATTTACAAAGTACTTTAACGCACCTTGTAATGAAATAGTTTGTTTTGATACAAAACTCCTTTAGTTTACATAACAATTGATTTAAAAATTGGAATAAGGAAAAGCTATTGCTTGTTTTGGCTTACTATTTCACTTTAGAACTCACTGAATGTCTCCCGTTTGGAAGCTGCTAGCATTTTAAGTTGATCAGTTTGAGATTTATTGCCGGGAAAACTCCAAACTCTTCACTGACAGCAATGAGCGTAATTAGTATTACTTCACCAACAAGCCTAAACTATTACATTTTTGGACATTTCAAAAGTTTAGAGTGCCTTTAACAAAAATAATGGCACAAAAAGTTTAAATCTGGACTTCAGTCAGGCTGCTAGCTGAGAGGCTACAAACAGGTTGGAAGAGCTAACAAATTAGCTAATTTAGCATGTTGGCAAGTTTTTGCTGGCCGATACGGAAGAGGTGCTTTAACTAATTACCCTCTTTCCGGTTAAAGTAATTAATATTTTACGTTTACCTAAACAAAAACCGTTAACGTGTACGTATTGATTTTTTTTGCAAAAGTTTAGAAACAACAAAGAAGCTAAGCAGCAAACGGCGGCTGCAGGCCTTGTTGTGACAGCTGGCTAACATTAGCTTTTAGCCTATTCTTCATGAACGCGAGCAGAAAACCCGCTCAGAAAGTACAAACCGTCCCGCATGCATGACTTACCTTGACATTTCTTTCATGACACTAAAAAGCTTGCACTGTTTTCTGTTTTAAATCCGTAAAAAAATGAAGCTAAGAAAGTCAGCCAGTGGGGATGACAACAGCTTCGACCTGATTTCAACAATGGTCACTTTCCAGAGAACAGTTCAAACCTTCCCACTGAACCGGAATCACTACTTGGGAGCTAACGAATCCGCTCGAAACCCCGCAGGAACATTCATTTCTAATTTATCCTCCAACCCCAAGCAGAGTTTTGACAAATCGTGGCGAGTCAAGCACGCGTTTAAGTGCTGTTGTGGGTTATTTTTAGATCCCAAACTACAAATGTAACGGTGTTTGTTGCCCGACGTCTGCGTGCACCACGCTGAACAACCACCGTCAAGAGGCACCGCCTCACCAAGGGCCACAGATCACGTGATCACGTCGGACCGACGCTGTTACGTAACTGGCATGTTTTGTTTTCTTGAAAACGCGTTTGAGCTCTATTGTAACCCTCGTAACGGTCATTTACTGAATAATAGTGTTGTTTTTCGGGCAAACAAATTTAAATTGATATATTTTTTACGTGGCTCCAAAGTTTCCACTTTCGCATTGAAATAAACCAATTAAGAAGTAATAACTACATTATAATAGTCTAAATTTAGAAAATATTTGACAAGAAAAAGCTTTATTTCTAATGCATAATAAGTCAAAATGCATTGCTTTTTGAGATTTAATCGAGAGTAATCCGTGTAACACATGTTCAGTTGTTTTAATTTACTCTGAAAACAAAAAAGAAAAGAAAGTGAGCTGACATTCTCATTATTCTCATTGTAGAACTCGCTGTCTTGTAATATCATCAATTGTCTAAGAATAAAACTGTTATTTTATATTTAATAAGTTTTTCCAGAAACGCCTCTGAAGTAATGCAGACCGTATAAAACAGCTTCCTCTAGTGGAGACAATAGAAAAATTATTTCAGCCAACTGTTTCACCACTTTTGAACAATATGTGTGCAGAAATATTGTGAAACACGCTCACACGTTTTCAGAAGACACCTTTAAAAATAAATAGATAAAAATATGTCTAATTATGTAGACCTTTGACTTCCTAAGGTGATTCTAGTCCTTAGTGACAAACATTTTTGAGATTTGCAAGACTATTTAGACATCTTCAAATCTGCTGTCGGATCTCTTTCGATGATAAAGTGTAAAAATAATCCTCCCAATAGGTTATAATAATGTGAGAAAGCAAAAAGTTTTATTTTCATTTTCAGATGATCTAACATGTCTTCATAATTCCTAGTTATATTGTTTTTATTTGTGAAAGCCAATAATTAAAAACCAAAAAACATTAAAAACAGCATGTTTCGTTTCATACATAAAGACAGAAACAAACTTTAGATTTGATTAAAATAATTGAATCTTTTCCAGTAAGTATCTTCAGTCACCGCAGGACCGTATTGTGTTACTCAATACAGCAGCTGGTGAACTTTCACCACTGCACACAAAAAAAGAAGAGGACAGCTCCTCCCTACTGTCTAACTCCTACTTGTCTCATTTCCGCATTTTGCACTGTTCAGATCGCCACATTTAAACATTTATAATAAAAGGAAGTCAAATAGTTTCCTGCTGCAAAATCCAAAGCTTGTCATTTAGAAAAAATGAGCAGCCAAGTTCCTCTGGTCAATGTGGAAACGTGGATAACTGAAAACCAAGATGCTTTTCTACCACCAGTGTGCAACAAGCTGATGTGAGTAACATGCTTTGCTTATTGTTTTTTAGCCAGTAAAATCTGCAGCGGTGATTGATTTGTTTGGGACGTTAGCACCAGACATATGAACATGCACCAACCACATGACTGCTTTCAATTTCTGTTTTTCTCAGGCACTTTTCGCAGTTGCTTGTCATGTTTGTTGGGGGTCCTAACACCAGAAAGGATTATCATATAGAGGAAGGGGAGGAGGTAGGAAATAAAAAATACATAAATACAATCTCAGCCGTTTTCACACAGCATGATTCAGCGTCTCCTTTCCCTTTATCATTACCTTATCTTCCATGAACCTGGGCAAACTCCAGCTTGCACATGAAATGCAGAGAGTGTGTATTTTGGCACAGTGTCCCTAATAATCTTTAACTGGGTCCTTCTTGTTGGTGGCATCCTTTGCTGTCTAGACTTGCAAACTTACTCATTCGTAATTCCTAACATTTTCCAAAACCAACTCAGAGAAGAATGAAAAATTGCAACAGTCCCTATTGTTTGGCTGCATTCAGCACAGTGGTCCAGCTGGTATCAAATCCCAATCTGGGGCCTTTCTGCATAGAGTTTGCATGTTCTCTCTGTGTATGTGTGTGTTCTCTCTGGATACCACAGCTTCCTCCAGTCTAAAAACATGACTGTTTGGTCAATCAATCCCTTTAAATGGTCCTTAGGGATGTGAATGGTTCTCTGTGTTGTGGTCTATCATTGGTCTGTGACCTGATCAAGGTATACTCTACCTTACTAGGATAAGTTTGGAGCAAAGATAAAACTATCAGTTTTATCTTGATAAGTTAGCAGCAAAAATAAAACTGTCAGTTTTATCTTGATAATTGGTTCATCGATGGAATGACCAATTAGTCCATTGATGATTTTTCTCTTAATTTCAAGATCTTCTTTTAGTAAAATTGTATCTTTATTTTGCTAATATTATAATTACATTCTTGCAGTTAATGGACGATTGAAATAAAACCATTAAAAAAAAGATACTTTCTTTCATTTGTAATTCCTTTTTTCTTTCTTTTATTTTTTTAATGGATGTTGTATGAAAACCCTATTAAAAATGTCTCATTGGACAGTAAATGATAAAACAGTATTATTTTACATTCTTCTGACTGTCAAAGATAAAAAATGTCAATAATTTGTGCTCATGATTGAGTTCAATCATTCCAATAAATAAACAAAGGTTCACAGCGTCTAATCAATAAATATTTAGGATATTTTAAAGATTTATATAGTATGCATGTATAAACCGTCAGAACAAATATTTCTTTTGTATACTAACGTTCATATCTTGGAGAGTTCAGCTTGTCAGTAATGTAGAATAAGTGGCTAAAGCTAAAAGGTTTAGCCAGGTCATTTTGAGGGAAGGGGGAGGAAAGCCGTTCTTGCATGTGAAAGGTCAAATCTGATGTGTTAATGTTTACCACTCAGTGTCCAGATTGGGCAATTGTGCAAAGAAGGACATTTAACCCATTTCTTGTCTTTTTCTGTTGAAATAGTTGTTTTTCCAGCTGAGGGGAGACATGTGTCTGAAGGTGATTGAAAATGGCACCCACAAGGACGTACACATCAAAGAAGGCGAGGTAAGCGCTGACGTTTCACCAACATCTGGAGCAGAAACTTGTCTTTTCTCTTTGTAGAGCATTAAACACACTTGAATTGTAAACGTTGCCTCATTGTGTGATTTTTGTCCTTCACTTTCAGATGTTTCTGCTCCCAGCTCGAATCCCCCACTCTCCGCAGAGAAAGGCCAACACCGTTGGACTGGTGGTGGAGCGAAGGCGACTGCTGACTGAAACTGACTGCCTGAGGTTCACCTCTTCCCTCATTTCAATTCCTACTTATCTAATACAGTCTCAAAATGATTCACATTCAAGTGTGCTTTCAAATATATGTAAGCACACTGAAAAAACACAAACTCATAAGTAATTTTGGTCTAATTTCTAGAGCAAATATCGTAGCGAACTTGAAATAAGACAAACTCATAAGGAACTTTTTAACTCATAAGTAACATTTTCTCATGTTATAAGTTAATTTATCAGCCAATATATCAAATACTTTTTCATCAATATTAAGGACTTATTATCAATATTAAAATATAGAGGCTTAAATCTTGCTAAAAAGTTACTTTTGTCTCATTTCAAGCACAATAAGATATTTGCATTAGAAACTAAATTACTCAGTAAGGTTTTGTATTTTTGCAGTGCTTGTTCAACTTGCCAGTTTTTCACAGTGTTGGTTACACTAAAAGAAGTAACCAGTACCTGTTGCTTCTTGTAGGTACTACGTGGAAAACACCACAGATGTCCTGTTCGAGAGATGGTTCTACTGCGAGAATCTGGGGACACAACTGGTTCCGATTATCAAAGAGTGAGACACATTTCTTCTTTTAATTTCATCAGGATTCATTGAAATGAATAAAATGATGACGTTTGATCTATTACTCACAGATTCATGGCATCAAACCAGGCTAAGACGGGTAAACCGGATCCAGGTGAGCTTTCTGCTTTCTCCTTCTACATGTCCAATCTGAACATTGCTAGATTTCTAAAGAATAAACTGCTGCTGTTTTTGTTTTCGGTTGAACAGATGAAGTTTTCAGAGAGCCTCCGTTCCAGATGAATACCATGAATGTGATGACACCGTTTTCCTTCAAGGACTGGCTTAGCAAACAGAGGCCATCTTTGGCTAACGGCAGGCCCATCAACATCTTTGGAGCTCAGTTTGAGACAGAGGTAGGACGTGTCACGCTACAACATAAACATTTTAGCTTTCTGTAAACACAGATTGTTTTATTAAAATTGGTACATACACAAACAAACAAGAATTGAGTTCACAAAGTTTGAATCAAGCTCAAACAGATCCAAATAACCTCAGTCTTATGTGGTTAAAGCCTGTTTTATCCCTTCTAATAACAGCTTTGATAAAACAGCTTGCGAAAGTGTTCACACCCCTTCAACTTTCCCATAATTAGTCACATTACAACCACAGACATAAATATATTTCATTGGAGTTTAATGTGCAAAACCAACACAAAGTGGCATACAATTGTGATTAAAACAAATCGTACAAATAAAAAATTTAAAAAGCATTCAGCTCCATTCAGAAGTTGCCTGATTACTGCTCATAACTAAATTAGTCAAAAATTAATTTATATTTCACAATTGTATATTTCTTTGTTTTAGTATTTCACATTAGATTCCAATGATATATATTCATATTTATGTCAGTATTAGTATTAGTTCAATGAGTGAAAAATTATATTTTTATGGTGACATGGAGAAACTAACAGTAATAAATTAAAACCACTAATTAGGACTCGGTTGTATGTATTGTTTTTATCTTTAAACCTAAACTAAATCTGCTTTCTCTCTCTTGCATCACATCTATAAAGCCTGCAAGTTGAGAGCTGCCTTTTACATTGTAAAGCTTGACTTTCAGCAGTTAAAAGCAAGTGTCTAATTACATACAAATTATAGTTTTAGTGCTTCCTCTGCATGTTTGAGGGAGTGCTAGAAGCTGCATGTTTCTGCAGGTCAGAATATTGGATTCACCAAAACAAACCAGCAGAAATTTTATTTATTTAAGATTAAAGTCTCATGTTTTTGTTTTATGTTTGATTGGTTTTATTACAACAAATCCTATCTCAATAATAACAAAGTATTAGACTTCCTGGTAATTAAAATAAGATGTCTGGACTAGTGCATCTGTACAAACAGAATAATAATAATAATAATTAATAAAAAAAAAAAAGATTCTCTATTTCTTTGTCTTTGACAGGCAATGGTGTTTGGACCTGGACTTACAGAGACCTCAGTCCAGCAAACTGATTTGTGGATTTGGCAAATGGCACGTACACACTTCCTGTCCCAACTCCTCTAATAACCTCCATAAGCTGCTAACAGCTAATCCTACCAACACATCTTCTCTCTGTGTCTCCCAGGAGGGATCTTCAACAGTGATCATGGCGGAGCAGTCGTTTAATTTGACTTCAGGAGATAGTTTGCTCATCCCCGAACAGAGCCAGTGAGTCAATTTTAACAATATTAAAAATACGAATTATCTGGTGCTTTCCAGGTATCAGAATTACATTGATACAACTTTAAATGGATATCGATGCTGATTTTGACAGAATGTGTTAGCTAATTGGGTGGAAATTAGGACAAAACACAATAACTGATTTTAAGTTAGATTTTCAAGTCAAATAGTTTGTATAAAACTTATCTATAACCGACTTTCCATCAGTCCAATCAAGTCTCAGACACTGATGAGTAGTAGCACTTGCTAATATGAGCATTTGTGATGTTTCTTTGGGATTATGTTGCACAGCTGAAGGCCCAAAGCAGGCAAAATGCATATATGTTTGTGCTTTAGGTTGATATCTGATAAATAAGTAATGAGAGCATGTGGAATTTAATGTTGTCTACTTTTAAAATTAGCATGATTCTGGTAGAAATTCTGGTACAAACATGTAATTTATGTTTCCTTTGTAGGTACAAGTGGCAGAGGAGTGAGGGGACTGTGGCCTTGGTTGTTGTGCAAAATCCAGAGCGGAAGAGAACCGAATTGTCACCTACACACCTTCAAAATTCACTTAAATAGCTAGAAGCATTATAGGTGTTAACTTTTTTATCAAAACATGCATTTTAATCACGACATTGACATGAAACTTACACCAGAGGTCAGTAGCAAACCAAGTAATCCACACACTAAAATGAGACCAAAACAAATCATTCCACAATTTCAACTCTGATGATACAGGGAGAAAGTAATAAACTTACTGAAGTTTATCAGCATTAGCAGAAGAGCCTCCAGCTTTTTTCTTTCTTTGCAACCAAGAAAGAGTTTTCATGTGGGTTTCATCTTCAGCTCTTTAATGAAAAACACATACTTCCTTTAATTACCTGTTTCCCAACACTTCATGCTCAAAAACAACCTCTCATCTTCTTGTTCTTTCAACAAGAAGATATTCAAAGAACAAGTTTCACTCCAGATTCTCCTGCAAACTATCTTAATATTTTATTGACTTTCCTAAATACTGTGTAGAAAACTTTAAAAAATATTTGTCATGGGTTTTCTTTACTAGTGGAGTAAGTAAGTAACACAGTAAGTTATTCAATTGCAGTTGAGTGGATATTTCTTTTGAAATGAAGTTTCAGAGAAATACGTTTTGCAATAATGAGGTTGTGAAGTTCTTAAGAGCTTCTTGGTTCGACCCATCATGTTTGTTCAGTAATGAGGAAACGTTTTATAGACGATCACTGCATAGTAAATTTTTGATTAATATTAGTCAGACCTGATAAAAGGTGATTTTTGAGCTTTTTTCTTGACTTTCTAAGAAGTCCAACACATTTTCTATGTATTATTTTACTTAATTATTCTTAAATTAATTCATGGACTTGGATTGTTAATGACATCTGGGGTGAATTCTGCACAAACATCCTTATAGACGTATGTTTACTAAGAAAAACAATAACTTCTACAAAGCGCTTTGTATAATGGTAATAAATAATGCAGATTTATTTTAGTCTTATTATTTAGTGAAGTTAAGCATAATGAAAGAAGAACTTGATTCTGAAACTGCTGTCAGTTTTTAAGCTAGGAAGGAATAAAATGACATCAGATCATTTTTCTCTCCTGTTTTTGTTTTGTGCTGAAAACTGTCTTCAAACCTCAGGGAGAAACGTACGTGACAGAAAAATGAAGGAGTAAGATCCAAAAACACAAGTTTTGACGTGCACCAGGAACAAAACCCTGCTGTGAGATTGGTTCGGTTCTCATTTCCCAAAAATTGTGCAAACGAACCCGATTTTCTTTAACAAAATATTGAAATTTAATCAGCATGCAAATGTTGCCATTTTCCTCCGAGGGAGTCGTGCTGAGGCACATTCTCACTCTGGACAAAATCCAAACAGTTTTTCACTTAGGTATAGGTCCAGATAAGGCAGGAATAATGCAGAAATGATTAATTATGACAGTTAATAATACAATTGCATTTTGTTGTTTCTCCAAAAAAATAAAAAAGACAAAAATGTTGTGGGGGTTTACTTTAGTTTAGAAATTAAATAAAAACAAACAAAATAAAACAACAACATGGAAGACAACATGGCAGAATACATGTAATTATAGGTTAAATACACAATTAATTGTAGTATACTTAATTTCACAACTAGGACCTGAGATTGCTTAAGGTTTACTGAAAGTTGGGTGATTTTAGGACATAGTTTAAGATGATTATGAAATCAGTTGTTTATCAATCTTAACCTTAGCATATTCTTCATTAGAGATTAAAAGTCTACAGATTTTTAATTTTGAACCATTAAAAACACAGTAGTACTGTGTTGTTCCAGCTGAAAATTACATTAAATGTCATGTGGGTGATTTTGGAAGGACATGATTTAAGATAATCATAAAATCAGTCATTTTTCAATGTTATCTTTAGTGTATTGTCAGTTGGGGATTAAAATCTCAACCTTTTTAATAAATAAACATTAAAAATACAATAGCATTTTGTTGTTTCTTAAAAAAATAACGACATGAAATGTCATGTGGTTGATTTTGGAAGGACATAATTTAAGGTAACCATGAAATCAGCCGCTTTTTAATCTTATCCTTAGCGTATTCTTGATTACATGCTGCTCCGCTATAAATCCAGCAACAGCCCAGGCTGGGGCATAATCCAGAGTCACCAGTCCGCGAAGATTGTAGCGATGGGCTGAGTAATCCCACGGACAGGCCCCCAGCAGGCTCAGCCCCACGCCCCAGCTGAACTCCCACATGTAAATGAATAAAGTGTAAACTGCCAGCCTCACAGCGAGGGAGCGGCTCTGGGCCAGCAGCCGGGCCCTCAGGGCCTCCATGCAGAAGATGGCAGAGCCGTACATAGGCAGGGCCCAGATGCTGCTGTGTCCCTGCAGCCTCTGGTCTCGGCTGCTGCACCAGTCGTACACGGCGGTGAAGGCCACCTCGCAGAGGCAGCCGTGCAGAGCGTAAACGTAGAGACGAAACACGGCTGAGAGAGGATGCAGGGGGCCGAGGTTGTCTGGCTCTGCTGGGAATCCATGTCCAACAACAGTCCCTGCAAAACACACACACACACACACACACACACACACACACACACACACACACACACACACACACACACACACACACACACACACACACACACACACACACACACACAAACTGAAACTAGTGTGTCTTGAAAGTCTGTTTGGAAAGTTTTATGTGATTTAATTTAGGACAACTGTGAACTTTCAGCCACTGCATAGATTGATTGATAACATAATAATTAAGCATACTTCAATTAGTCTGGAACTTAGTGAGCCACATAAAAAGCTACGGAGGAGCCGGATTTGGTCCAAAGGCCTCGTGTTTGACACATGTGGTGTTTATAAGTTTTCCTCTCAGTGTAACAATGTTTTTGATTTTAAAAAAAACCACAGCAGTGTGGAACATATAAAACTTTTTCAAGTGTTTCAGAACCTGTTAGGACCAGATCACTGCAAAAAATGTCTTCAAGTTTGACCTTGACTCTAGTTTAATAATATTAACACATGAACCGGATTTTGGAATGAAGTTAATTGCTGAGAAATTAGTCAAATGATATAAATATATCCTCTACAAGTCGAGAAGAAAAGCCAGTCAGTGGATATAAGTCAAGAACACAGAATTGTTTATTATTTATTTATAAATATTATAAGTTATGAAATGCTTAAAATGTATTCCTATGAGGAAATAGGTAAAAGTTATTAAAATAAAGCTGCACCTAGACAGGATTGATGGGTTTTGAGGTAGCCTGAAGGGATTGAATCAGTTGACTGTGTTCTGCCAAAGAAAACATTTGTGAATGTTATTTTATGTAACATTCACAATATAGTCTGGGTGTTAGTTTTGATGAAACCAACATGCATGCAGTATGGCAAATAACTATATTTCACAAATAAAATTGTGTTTTCTGACTTTATATTTTTGTGTTTTTATGATACAAAACACGTTGAAATGCTTTGTTGCTGAAATGTGCCATGCAAAAAAACCCTGATTTGATTTAAAGGTTAATCTCGAAACAGAACCGATGTCTCTGTACAGTTTCACACAGCTGCAGGAAATACCCGGCGTCTGCTACTGTAGATGTAGGACAACGACCTACAGGATGCTGTAACTGCTCAAAATCCATATCGCAACATCAGAGACCACAGCTGAGTCACAGAGGAACGTCTGAGAAGGATCAAAACATTTTACACTGTAAAGCAGTAAATCAATGAACTCATGGGTTCATTCATTAGAGTTTGGCAAAAGAGTTATGAAAAGTTGCTTAGATGAAAGATTGATGTGCATCTTCTCTGTTAAATAACACTGATGAGTGATTCTGTCATTTCTTGTAAAAAAAAAGTTTTAATGCTTGAATTACGTTGTTATAAAATGGCATTTTAATTTTATCTGGTTAAAATCAGGTTGGATACATCGCAGAAGTATTACTGTACTGCTATTAATAGAATTCCCTCTATGTAGCATGAAAAATTTCAACAATATAATAGTGTTAGGAGTAATTTGTAGATCACATTAGCTGAAACATAAGAGGACTTAATCTGAAAGACTTTTACTTTAGCCTGAAGCTCTGCCCTCCTCCAGTTTCCACTGACTGAACTAATAAGAAGTGACAAAGATTTTCAGACTCAAAGCGAAGATTTTCAGGTGAAACAATCAGGTGAACATGCACTCTGAGCAAAGAGCCTGAAGCAAACACTGCAGCTTTTCTATGACGTCTGAACCGGGACGACTGATGGGTGCTGATAAAATCTGCAGTTTCGCTCCCAACCTTTGTCTGCTGAGTCATATTTTAATATATAGTTATGGTAAAAAGAAAATACCGCAACTTTTTTCATCTAGAAAAACAATCTAAACTTTCCTATTTTACAGATTGATGTCATTTTTTGGAACCAAGTTAATCAATGGTGACCAAACATCTTGGCCTAAAGGCCACAAAATTGTTGATATTTTTATTCTTAATGATAATAACAAAAACTAATTTATATTTTATTTTCACCTATTAAATAAGCAACAAACTAAACACACAATATTTTAGTAAAATAAGCAAAGCAGTCAAATTTTTGTAGACAAGCGTTGCAAGAATCAGGCTTACCTGATTTAAAAAGATAAACATCAAGTCATATTTTAAAAATGCAAATTTTTTTTGTATCTTTTTTTAGCAACAGGAACAAGATTTTAATTACTGTTTTTATTTTTACCAAGTTGATTAAATTTCTTCAGCACATTTGATTTTCCAGCAGCCATTGTACAGTGAGTACGGTGGTAAAACCAGCTGACCAAATGTGCTGGAGCCCAGCTTGTGCTGCTAGGTGATGTGCAACACAAGCTGGGGTTGCTAGGTAACAGCACTTTGCCTGTCAAATGCCCTTTAATATTTAGGAAGTTTTTGAAATTAACTTTTACATTAACTTATTGGCAAAAAGGCCTTACCTTTAACGGGTAAGGCCAATTCCTTCTTAAGAAAAGTTGACAAGTTGGTCAAAATGACTAAATATTTATTCATGGTTACAAGACAGATATTTGGAGGAGAAGTCATGGTCATTCTGCCAAGACAAAGAATAATCCCAACTGCCACGCAGTGGTGGCTGCATCTTTCCGTGGCAGTGGATGGAATAATGAATAAAACCCTCAGATGTCTCCAATTTCAGCTGAAATTAACAGCTAAATGGTTGAAACTTGGATACATTTGCATTTCATAACTGGACAATGATCCCAAACAAACATCCAAACTGATTCTAAAGAAGTATAACATGAAGCCCATTTAACAAAACTGTTGAAAAAGTTTATGTTAGGGTTACAAATTGGGTCTGTGGCATTAAGCTAATTGAATTTAACCAATTCTACTCAGAAAAGATGCTAAACATCCAATAGGATTTATGCTAGTCGCTGGCCAATGCTTACAAATCTGTGCAACTTGTTTAAAGATTTAACTAAATGTATGTATGCCTTTTTTTATTTTTCTTTGTTTTCAATAAAGTAGTTTGTCATCTTCTCACTCCCTTCTGGAAATATAATGACTCATTTTGAGGGTATGTAGTGACAAATGTTACTACGTTACTTACACCTTTCTGTGTTATCATGAGGAAAGTTAAGGTGTGTAACAAATTGCACTCTGAAACATGATAAGGTTTTATTAATATCGTTTTTACTGCACTTTGTTCCATGCACAACGCTCCTCCTTCGTTTTCCGCTTACAGGACACAAACCTCTAATGTGGATTAACAAGCTAATAGTCTTGCTTAGCAAATTAAAGACATGGCTAATCTTTAACAAGCTTTAACTCTGTGCGAACAAACTCTTTAAATGATCAACACGACGATACATACAGGTGTGTATTATTTCTGATAAATTAAAACATTAGTAATAAAATTACATTATTAAGATCAAGTCAAGTGAAAATAAAGTGATGAATTTTATTTGAGTTTTTGAAGGTAATTAAATGCAATTAAAAGTGATAACTCTCACCTCGACCACTTCTCCCTCCCACTGCTACTTTTCTGCCCTTCATCCCTGGCCGGTGTATAGATCTGTGCGCCTTTACAATCCCTCTGCTTCCCCTTGTGTGTGCACGTGCGTGTGAGTGTGGATTCTAGGCTAAACATTAAGCCGCTCCATGTTATCAGACACTGATGTGTCTGTGGCCGGGTCCAGTTGTGAAGAGAGGAGGAGAAACCGGACCAACCTGAGGGGAAAAACTCTGCATGGAGGGCACATTAACGTCAATATTGATCCAATGACGGCTGCATGAATGCTCGCTTTTAGCTATAGAGGAAGAGTGCAAACACATTTATTGATGGGTTTCTCAAAGGCAAACTTGGCAGTGTCTATATCTCAAAAAAGTTCTGTTTAACACAGAACAGTCTCTGCGGGGGTTATCAGTGAGCTGCAGCGGAAGGGAGTGTCAGAGAAACTGGTGTAATAAATAAATTATTTTGAATTTTAACTGGCTGTTGAATGAAGTGCTAATTTTCTTTAGTTTGCCTGGTCATCTTGACATTAAACTCACTTATCTGGAGTGAAAGAAAACATGCCTGTCGATGTATGTCATTAGAACAGGCAGTCACAATGCAAGGTCGGAGTTTCTGTAAACAAAATGTAAAAAAAAACGTGAATGTGTTCTGATTAAACTTGTTGACGTCTTAATTTCTGCCACATTGCATAATATAATGAAATTAAATCATTTATTAATAAAATATTTTTTATTGATTAAACACAATCGTTTCATGATTCAAATTTATTGTATCCAATTATTTATTTAATAAATAGTTTGAATAATTATAAAATTAAGTAATTAACTTAAGGATTAATTATTAAACAATAATTCAATAATTGATAGTTACCTAATTATTAATCAATATATTTAATATTGACAGCATTTTTTATATATTAATTGTGAATTAAATTATTTAAATAAAAATTTAATAATTCTTATTTATGTAGTTAATAATTAATTAATAACAATTTTACTTCTTATTTAAAATTACATAGCTACATTTAATTTTACTAAATTATTGTTATTGAGTGAAATGAAACAAGGTGTTTTTCTCTCATATTTGCCTGATGACATTAAATTAAAATTATTATTGTTCTTTAAATTGTACAAAATACATTCATAAATGGTGGAAATCTACTATCATGTTTTAAACAAAGTTTCATTTAATTTCATTTCAAATCTAACCCAGAGTGCAAAAACACAAGATTCAACAAAAATTAAGCTTAAATATAGAAGCTGTGTGAAAATAAGTAAGTACACCCCCCTTATCATTCAGCAGGGAAAGAGAAAAGGCAAAATTTTCATTGCAATATTTGATTAATGTAAATGTGCAAGCAGTTTTTCTTTATATGTCTCTGTGTGAAGACCTGGAGAGTCACAGCAAACCTTGCAAAGATATTATTAGTTTTTTTGCTTCAGTTTAATTTTATTTTGTTCTGATGTTTTGTTTACTTAGTTAATCAGTTAGTTTAGTTAGTTTTTAAAGTGGTTTAAAGTGCTGGTTTTCATTAGTAAAAATTCTTTATTTGTATTTTATTATCTATAATAGTAGCTTTAGTTTTTTTATACATTGGTTAATTTTTACATGCAGAATTCAAAAAAGGTTGTGTAGTGATTATATATATTTAATGGATATTCAACAGAAGATACTGTTAAAAAAATTTTCAATTATTGTTAAGCAACCAAATAACTGCCGTTTTATCCCAATTTAAGTTTCTACTGCCGCCATTTTGCAGACTTGTGTGATTCCCGCCAGGAGGATTATGGAGTGCCGTCATTTGCTGACAGATGACGTAAACTGCTCATGTAGGGCAAAAGCACCAGTTTGAAAGGGTAATAAACAGATTTATAGACACAAATCATTTCTCTGATTTCAGTAAGTTTTAGTTACCGTATTTTCTGGACTATAAGCCGCAGTTTTTTCCCCATAGTTTGGCCGGGAGTGCGACTTATACTCCGGAGTGACTTATGTGTGAAATCATTAACACATTATTATGTCATGTCACATGGTATTTTCACACTAAACCGCAAGAGGGCGCTCTAGGCCTGTGTTGATAATGTGTGTGGCAGAAGCTACCTCCGGAGTTAGCTGAGTTGTTTACAAGCGACGCCGAAGATGAAGATTTAGTGATTTGAAGAGACATGGATGGTTTGGTAAACTTGTTGGCATGTTATTTATACTATAGTTATCTGAATAACTAGTAATATGTTATGCTAACATACCAGGCACGTTCTCAGTTCGTTGTTAATGCATCATGTAACGTTAGCATACCGTACAATTATTCAGCCTGTTGTTGCCTCTATTCTATATTTATTGCCTTTCAAGATGACATGTCTGTTCTTGGTGTTGGATTTTATCAAATAAATTTCCCTCAAATATGCGATTTATACTCTGGAGCGATTTATAATCCGGAAACTTAGAATATAGTTCCAGTTAATTATAGTTTTTTTCTCCATCAATTAACATTTTCTCAATTTCAGTTCTTACAATAACCTTGTTATAGAAAATGGATGGACTTTTCTAGACATAAACTGTATTCTTCCTCTCTATAATCAGATTATTTACTTCCATGTCTAAATATATCATTAGGGAAGTTGAGTTATCAGCCTATTGACAAACACCATAAAAGCGACTGTATGGTTCTGCTGGCACAGTTCAGGTCTCATATTGGCCATAAATTTCCTGAGAGCAGATGTTACTCCTGGTGGTGCCAGTGTCGGGTCTTGTGTGTTTATTCTGCGAGTACAGTCATAAAACAGGCGGTCTAGTTGCAGACCTGTGGATCAGAGTCCAGTGATTCCAGCAAACACGCCTCTACGCCGGTGGGCGGGGCTTAATACTCAGTCCGGAAGTCAGTTACCATAAAGTTATCAAGGTTCTGTTGGAGAGATTATGTAGGGAAGTTCAAGATTTATAACCTTTATAAGAGGTGCTTATAAATATTGGTGAGATTTGAGTTTGTTTTGTGCGGTCTTTTCATTTTAGTGCTATAAAAGTACAAGTAAAAAGTGATTTGATTAAATAACTCAGAGAGGAACTGACTCAGTGATTAGGAAAAATGGGAAGTGATGTTCGCTTTAAATTACTGTAAAAAGGACTCAAAATGTCAACTTTTTTTTAAATGATCTTTACCAGGTTGTACAAAAATGTGCAAAAACACCAGTCAGATCCCTCAGTAAATAAAGGTGAAATCAAACTGAAACACTAAAGACACAACTAAGTATAACACAACATAAAATTTCAGGTTTGATGCTTTAACTCCTTGCAGTCACTGGCTGTGTTTCCATTAACCATAACATTGCGTAAATTAAAATTACAAAAATAATTTGGATTAATGGAAACATGTCAATTGACAAAGATACGTGTTTCTTCGTTGGCGGAAACCAACGAAGAAGAGATTAGGAGGTAGTGGAAGGATGATGATTTGTTTTTTTAAACAGTGTACAGCTGGTTCACAGAATCGCACAGTTCATAAAAAGTTGTGGATCATTCCAACGTGTTGAATCAGTCGCTTTTCTGTAAAATCGTCAAAAACAATTTTCCATAAATGCCGCATACGTTGCCGTTTTTCAGACGCTAACGGCTCCTCTGACGTCAGCGATGTGCAAATGTTTCACTTAACTGCTGTGATTTTTAACAACTCACTGCGTGAACAAGCTTATTCACCTGTGATTTTGATTCCATTTGTTATTTAATGGAAACATTGCAATGACGAAATGGTGCTTTTTCAACATTAACGCGTATTTGTAACGCAGCTTTTGACCACGAGTTACCGAAGTCAAATAAAACAAGCTGCTTGGCAGATACCAAAAACTGAGTCATTAATTAGAATATCTACAAAAAGAACAGCTGAAAGAAAAGAAAAAAGTTACTGTAGTGGACCAGGGCCACCAGGGAAAGCAGAAAAAAACTGCAAAAATAAAAAAAGATTTTATCAAATTTTTGCAATCACAAATTTTTAATATTTTTTTTACTATATAATTTAATTTGCTTTTCAATCGTTACTATAAATTATTATTGAAAATTCAAAAATTATTTGAAATTCTCATCTTTCTGATTAGCTGTCATTCAAATTGATTGAGCTGCTTTGCTCCTGAAGCTGCATAGCAAGTGTGAAATTGGCAAGTTTTTAAAAATGTTGAGCAGCCAAGAAGTGAAGGAAGCTGCTAAAATCAGGAAAAGAGATGCAGCTTTTAAGTTAAACAAACGTAAGAAATAAAGACTTGTGAATAAAAGTGAGGGAAAAAACATTTAATGAGTTGATATTACTGGACACCCGGTCATAAAATCAGTCGTTGGGTGTACTTAGATTTTCAAAACCACAAGTTTCCATTTTCACTTTCACAACAATTACTCTTCTTTGTTCTTAATCATAGATAAAAAATATTTTAACAGCTGGTGAAGTACCTGAAAGTATCAAAACAGGGTGTGTTTTTTCTTTTCCTTTTCTCCCGTATGTAAATCCTGTACAGTCAGCGTGTCATGAGTAATTCCTGAGCTAAAATGTAAGTTTGTGGCCAATTTTTTTCTCTGGAAATGTTTTTGCTAACATCGTGTTATGACAAGTCCTCACACAACCAGCTTCATGTAGAAGGAGATCTCACACTTTGCACAGTAGAGCACTTTCACTCTCGCTACGCGCTTCATTGTCTTCACCAACTGAACGCATTACTGCTGGTGAGTATGAAAAACTACACTTTTACACGGTTTTTATGGATGCATGTGGTTTTTTTCTGCAGTTTGATCTAGATGTGTTGCATTACTTTCATATAAAAAAATAAATAAAAGAGGAAAACCTGAGTCAAAGCGAACTCTTGAAATATTCGGCAGAAAAAAAGATGAAGATGTTGATACACTGCAAAATCTTATCAAGTATTTTTGATGTACTATCTTAGTAAATCTGAATTCAGATTAAATTAAGGTACAAACAACTTTGAAGCTAGAAATATGAGGTTGTTTTAAGACAATTTTAATTTGAATAAAAAGGTTATAGTTATAAGTGACGTAATGATTAAAGACTTTCGAACTTATAATAGGGAAAAATGTTGGTTTCACTGAGAAATTATTTAACCTATAACTAATAATTTCCATTAATATTAAGGAATTGTTGACTTAAAACAAGCTACTGTTTATTGATGAAAAGTTTCTTGTAAGTTATTTTTTTCTTATTTCAAAAGGACTAAGATATTTGCATTAGAAACTAAACCAAAAATATTTGGTAAGATTTTATGCAACTTCCTGCAGAAAACATGCAGAAAATGGCAATTTTAACCTCATGATAATTGTTTTATAATCTGTTGTGCAACTTTCAAAGCACATTTCTCAAAAAACATTAATAAAGCTGAGTTTGGCTTTCACTTGCACAGGTATGCACTGAAATACTTTTAATTTAACGTCACTGCGCTGCTGAAGCCTTTCTGCATGATCTTACAGCAATTCCTACAATAATCTTCTATCTTCACCCAAAGAATGACTCAATTTTAAATGTGCTTAATAATATTTAAAGTTAGTGAACCATAAATGTTATTTCTAAAGGAGTTGTTAATTGTTTTCATGCAATAGAGTTATATAAAAACAAAGACTGCAGTTCTGGGCATGCCCTCTCTGATTCGGGTTTTCCCTTTTCAATCGGTGCAAATATTTCCTCATAGTTGTTTGTTTTTTTAAGCCCACTTCCTAGAGCATAAATTCACAAAAATACCTTTACATGCATACCTTACTTTACTTCTGAACTGATAAATGTTGTGTCTTCTCTGTAGGACCCATAAAATACACTACAAAACCATTAAATCTTACCGAAAAACCCCCTAACGTTTAGCTTATAACATGGAGAAAAAAACTGATTATTTCACTTATAATTAATGCCTTTTCATCAATATTAAGATATTATTGACTTAATAAGCTCCTATAACTTGCTGAAAAGTTGCTTGTAAGTTTGTTTTGTTTTATTTTAAGTGATTTGCACAAGAGAGTAGACCAATAACATGGTAAGATTTTGTGTTTTTGCAGTGTAGATTCATCATAAAGCCACCGGAGTGAAAAAATATTGGCATCTTAGAGATTACTGTATTTTGGAAAGGACCTGAGTAGACATGAAAAGCTGATTTTAAATGATAATTTTATTGCCTGAAAGAAGAAAAATATCTAAGCTACCTAGTCAAAACATAAATGACCGCAATTATGAGTCAAATGTGATTTATCACATTGTTTTTATTCAGTTCCACTGATTTCAGCTTCACTTACTTAAACAGAACCCGTCTGGCAACATGAAGTAGGTCAATATCCATCAAGAGAGAAAGCTGGAGGAAGTGGTGAACCTTCCCAGAAATGATCAATATACCAAAATCGCTTCAAGGCCATTTCAACACAGGAACCCAGAGCAGCAGCCAGAGTTCTGCAGGTCCAACTTTCCTCAGTGAAAGTTCACGATTCAACAACAGAAAAAAGAGAAATTGAGCAAAAAATGGCCTCAAGGCAGAGACTATTGACAACCAAGAGATCATTTCATGTTGATAAACATTGATGATCACTTTGACTGCTGGAAATTATTCTGTGAACTGATGAGATAAAAGTGGAAGTTTTAAACCTGTAATAGTGTGACTTTTACATAAACTTATGTTTTTATACATATTTGTTGAAACTGTCACAATTTTATCACAGTTTGACAGTCAGTGAAAAAAAAGAAGTCCTCTGCCTTCTAGTGCAAACTAGAAACGACCAATCAGTAAGTTTTGGATTTGCAATAACTAATTTCCCTTTTCTACAATTTTTAAATTTTTTTTTACATTTTCTTGGATTTTGGCCCCCATGGCAGAAAGTTTGACTCCCCTGCTTTGATAGGTTTCGTGTTCGGCTGTGAATTTGCCACCTTCTTGGCTCCGGTTTTGTTTTTTCTCAGTTATTTTTGTAGTTGTCTGACTCCTGTTTCCCCCTGAGTCATTATTTTCGTTGGTATCAGTACTAACATCTCTCCCTTTCACTCCATCTTCCTTCTTTTCTGCGTACATGTTTATGGGCATGTCTGGTTTCTGGAAATATTTTTGTGTTTTGTTTAGACTTTTGGCATCTGCAGCCCTTTGTTTTGTAATAATAAGCATTAATCTTCTTTATTACATTTGCCTCCTTCGAAGAAAAACAATAGATATAGAAATAACATTAACACCTCCAGGCTGTTGCTGTTTACACTTTTATCAAAATAATTACACGTTAGCGAAAGATGCTGCTCCAACTAATATCTTACATTGGCTGTAAAACAAGCCCAAATCATGACCCGCCCACCACCGTGGTTTGAGAGTTAATCAGGTTTTTGAGCTGATATGTTGTGTTTGTGTTCACTTTTTTTCTAATGAAGACCCTTAAACAAGCCAGACATTCTTTTTTTTTTTTTTTTTTTGATGTCAGAAACTTTAAATTTTAACTGAATCCTATGTAATCGGAGAAGAAGCTGTTTGGTTTTTATCTAATTTCTTTCAGCGTTTATCAGTCTGAGCACTTTTGGGAAAATTGGCAACTGCCTACAAATATTTTCTGCTTATAAATAATCTTTGCCACTTTCTAAGTTTAGTACTGACACCTTTGCTTTTTGTCAGTGTGTCAACATATGCATTTGTGCTTGCGTTTAGAGTTGGTCACACTTCAGCAGAGGTGGATGGAGTCGCCAAAAATTAAAAAACAAAAATTCTAATCTTTTTCCAAATACAGTATCACCGATTAAAATGTTAATCATTTAATATTTAACATTACAACATCAAGTGATATGAAATTTTGTGGACATTTTAATGACCAAAATGAAAATAATTCTGTTAACTTACTTAACAGAATTAAGTTAAGTTCTTACTTAATTCTGTTAAGTAAGAATTATATAAAATTTAAACAAAATTTTTTTTTTTCCAAATTTCTTACTAAAAAAGAAAGAAACTTCAGTGAAAGTTAAATTTTCATAAGTGTGTTTGGTGAAATGTTGGTTAAAAAAAGATAGTTCAACATTTAGTGAAGTTACTCACAGTTGGCAGACATTTTACTCAAGAAACAGTAGTGATACTTCAGTAAAATTAAAAAGTAAAGCATAGCAAAAATACTCTTAAAGTATATTTTTAAAAAGTTATTCAAGTAAACTCTGCATTCATGATGGTCAAATAACTCAAATTCAGTTGTAAAACTTCATTAATTCTTAAATGAAATTAAATATTGTTGAGACTCATTAGGTTTCTTGGATGGCTGTGGGCAGGAAGGATCTCCTGCAGCAGTCAGTATTACAGCAATTCTGAAGACGCCTCTGATTGAAGACACTCTGATACAGTTTTTTTTTATTTTATGAAAAATTCTTATTTACACCGTCATCTCCAAAATATTCCCCAAAAGAGAAAAAGCCTTCTTCATCAAGTTGTTGAGAAAAAAATCATTTTCCTCAACGATCTGTTGCACTGAAATCTCCCCACAATGAAGAACAATATAATATATTTCTATCATAGTCTCATATACTTGGCTGCAATAAGAGGCTAATAATAAAAGCTACTTTTGCCTTTCTATCATCTTAAACTTTTTTCTAACATGCTCCAGATCAGTGGTTCCCAAAGATTTTCTGGGATTACAATAAAATCCCTCTCACTCTTCTTAGTGCCTTAAAATTAAAACCAGGAGGAAAAAAAAAAGTCAGCCATTTTGTTGACTCAACAAATCAGCAAAAAAACTAAGGAAAAACAGGTAGATAACAATCAGAGGAACTGAATATCGGCTGACATTTATAAAAAAAAGGTACTAGATCTCACATGGTAGAAACAAACAATGGAACCGGTTCTGGTTCGGTAAAACAAAACATGAACTAAAGAATCTGCATCAAAGTAGATATCAGAAATCCAGGAATGGGTGAGAAATCTTAATCTGAACCAAGCCTTGTTGCAGCTTTACTAAACCAGATTTAAAAGCATCAGCTAAGTGAAGCCAGGTTAAAGTAAACCTGTCACAGTGAGCGTTCATCCTCTACCCACATCGACAGACCATAAGGCCGATCACAGATTAACTGATTCAGGTCATAAATTATGAGTTTCTTTCATAGAGCAACAGATAATATTAAGATTTCTATAAATAAAATTATAAAGTTCGTAGTATGTAATGCGCATTCATTCACTTCAGCTATGTTTGGTGTGTTTGATCAAACTTCAGTTTGTTTGCCTAGAAAGTCTGGTTCGTTTGCGCAAACAAACTCTAATGCGGACCAAAAATGCGAACTCTGGTTCGTCTAAAAGCCTCAGTCTTGGTTCAGTTCAAGTGAATTCTGGTGCAGTTTGAATGCGTATGTGAACACAAAGTGGACCAGAAACTGCTCCAAAAGCAGGAAATGGACAACAGTGCAGGGCATTCTGGGTAAACACAAGCAAACGTGCTAGTCTGTTGCTAGAGAATAAACTTTGTTTTTCTCCCAAAGACAAAAAATATCCTCCAACCGTTAAAATCTGACGCCATTTAATTTTTGTTTACATTTTGTAAAGAAGGAAGTTGTGCTCAGCGTCTCCTTCAGAGGTTTTCATGTTGTTTCCTTCAGTGGTTCTTGGCGCAGCGCCACCACAGGCGAGGAGGGGAACTGGTTTTTCAAATTATTTGTTTTTTTTTGATGCAGTGCAAAGAGAAATCGAACTGAAGCAGCTGAAAATGCAACAAATGTTGCTACTTACATCCTCAATTATCAGGGCATCTGGTGTGAAAATACTTAAGCAGCTCTTTTACCTTCTGTATGGCTTTGCCAACCCTTTCTATGTCTTTGTGTCAAGTTGTTTCTTTGCCACATCATTCACCCATTTACATGTTTGTATATCAGTTTATTCTTTAGTCTTTTGTCATTCCTAAAATAATCTGAACCCTAACATTTGCTTTCACATTGTTTCCAATATAACAATAGTCTAATCAGTTTTTATTCTTTTCCTTGGTAGTGTCAACCCACTTGTTGACATTTCAGCGAGTGGAAAGATCCAACGATACTCTGCTAGAATGACTTCAGGGGGAAATGTGACCTACTGCAGACTTGGGAACAATGAATCTGCAAACGTGTTGGTGATCGTTTTCCTGACTATCGAGACTCTGGTGGGGCTGCCAGGCAGCATCCTCGCGCTGTGGATCTTCTGCCGCCGTATGAGGCTCTGGAAATCCCACGTCACCTTCCTCTTTAATCTCTGTCTGGCCGACTTCCTGCTCTTCCTCAGTGTGCCCTTCCGCATCGACACCCACTTCCGAGGCGACGACTGGCAGTTCGGGCCGGTTTGGTGCCGCATAAACCTGTACATGCTGTCCGTCAATCGATCTGCCAGCATTTCGTTCATGACGGCAGTGGCAATCGACCGCTACCTGAAGGTGGTCCATCCGCATCATCCCATCAGTCGACTGACCTCGACTCTGGCGCACAAGCTGTCAGCACTGATATGGCTCGTTGTGATTTTATATCGTATTCCGTTGTTGACGATCAACCTCCTCCATGAGGTGGAAGAGAAGAAAATGTGTCGCAGCTTCCACTACTACGAAGACCTGCCAACGGCAATGAAAATGCACTATGCAGCCTACGTCCTAGAGTTCTTCCTGCCTTTGTTATTGCTCATTTTCTGCTCCGTCAAGATCGCCTGCCAAATACGAAGGGTTCAAATGGAGAAAGAGAGAGCACGGCGCGCCATCCGAGCTGTAATGGTCATCAATATGGTGTTCATCCTCTGCTTCATGCCAGGCGTCGTCACAGGCCTGGTGGGGCTCTACATAAAGATGTTCCACCCAGAAGCGTGTGAATCCTACAAGTTATGGATCAATCTCTTCATGGTGAGCATTGGCTTCACCTACCTCAACAGCGCCTTGGACCCCGTCATCTATTTCTTCTCCAGCTCAGTGTTTCATGACACTCTGAAGAACTCCTTCAAATGCAAGAGGGGCATCAGTGAAAACAGCACCCTATAACCGCTGACAGGTAAAGACCACAACAATTAAGGTTTTGTTTGATTGAAAAGAACAGAAACAGATTTTTGAGATGGTGCTTCAGTATTTCCACATAATACTGACTACTACTGCAAGCTGCATTTATATTATTGAAGATATGATTGCTCAATTTAACTTTTTGAAAATAAATTAGAATATTTATTTTACAATTATAAAAATTGGGATGAGGTGGTTTATTGGTTTACTTTGTAAAACGGCGGCAATGGAAACACTTTTTTTTGCATCACACGAGTCGCATGATCAGCAACTGGATTTTACTACTGGCAGAAACGACAAAGAAGTAGACAGGAAATAGTTGAAGGATAATGGCGCTGTCTGTTTTTAATGACTCATTAAATGGACTCTCTTATTCACGTGTGATTTTAGTTTTCTTTAAATGAAAACATTACTGTTATGAAATTGAGTTTTTGTGACATTAGTTGAATATTTTGTGTACATTTGTAATGCAAACGCACCTTTTGACAAAATATATTGTGTGAAGTCGTCCAGTTCTTCCTGCAGTTCTTCATGTTATCTATGTAAGCCACAATTAGCAGGGCTTGCTTAATTCCTTCTTTTTGTGCTAAATGTAAAGTTGGTCATTATGGACAAAACAAAAATCTATTTCAGAGTCACCACATAACAGAAAAAGTCTAAAATTGAGGTTTCATCCTTGAGCGTGTTTCCAATCTGGTTTTGCTGCTTTTAGTCTAAACTTTATTCCAGCTTGACTGCCATTTGGGACACTCTGACGAACTTTAGCCAGGACCTTTTTTGTTCTATTTATCCTCACATCTTTCACCAAAGCATCTCAAAGACGGAACAATTTCATTTCAGAATAGTGAGATGAGAAACTTGACACCTTCATGCATCTGATGAAACCGTCATCCACCGCTCTCTTTCTGAAACCTTGATCAGTTTTCCCCATGATGTCACACAAAGACACAAACTGTTGTTCTCTTGAAATATACCCACAATAATATACCCACAATTGCACCCCCAATTTAATTGTTGTGGCCTTACAAAACAATTACAAAATCAGACTTGTTAAGAGGTGGTGTTGCCCAACGTCTGTCCTTACAAAATGTTTCTCTGTCATTATTTTCACAAGCCCAAACTGGCCTAAACCAGGAAATGTGTTGCTTATTTTATGTCAGACAAAGAGGGAGAAGTATATTTGTTTGTGCAGACAATGGGTTTTAACGTTGTGTTTCTAAAGAGAAAATACTAATTTACTGATTTCCTCATTTCTTTCCACAGCAATATTCCACAGAAACAGTCTTCTTCTTCTTCGTGGGATTACAGATCTGGATGCAGGACGGATACTGAAGAGCCACTTTTACACACAACTTACCCATAAAAAATACTTAATTTAACAGAACAGAACAAATACAACACATTTCTTCCAGACCAGACCAGAACTTTTTCTTTAGTGCTGATGTTTTACAGTGTGTCATTGACTGGTGTATAATGTAGCAGCTTCCAAGCGTCTCGATGCACTCTAAAACATATTAGTTGTTGTAATTCTTGAAAAGGATTTTATCAGCAGTACAGACAGTTTTTCAACTGATGATCTTGTAATAGTACAACGCATAAAATCCGCACTTACTTTTGAAATTAATGGTATTTTAGAAAAAGCGTATCTTGTATTTCTTAAGGTGGAATGATGAGTAGTTAGTAGGTAACTACTTTAACCTGCTAAGACGGGATGAATTGAAAGTATTCCCACCTTTTTGCTGGACAATTTCCACAAAAAACTATTAATGCTGAAATTCTTTGTTGGTAAGTCTAAGGAAAAATACTCAGAAAACCATTCAATATTGTTTTATTTTCACTCTGCATTTGTAAGACTTCAAAGTTTAGTCTGATGCTTGGTTTTCCTGAAGATTTTACATGTTTTTCTAAATAACCAAATTATCTATTTCTACATATTTTGAAGCCAGTGACTAACTGTCAATGCTTTACATATTTTAATAAGACATTAACCAATAAAAAGGGTTGCTAATCCACAAAAGTACATTTGCTGAAGTTTAAAAAACTGCAGAAGTAAGACAGTTTGTGTCACAGCTTGTTGATCTCAATTGCTGCAGAATGCTGCAATTTTTGTAATAACCGATTTGCTTTTCGCTTGAAAGTTTTCCACAGCAATTTTATGAGACATGCAACTCAAGAAAATGTTGCTAACTGCTAGCCAAAGTGAGGCTAACTCTGAGACACCTTTTAAAATTAAACCACTTTTATAATTTTCATTATATTGTATTTTTATAAACTTTTAACTGGATGACACATTTGGGTAAGACAGTTATTTAATAAATGTCTATACTTATAAACAGGAAGTCCATAATATATTAATCACCTTACCTTTTTTTTAAACACATGCTAAGCTACATGTGCTAATAAACTTGCTAACTTCTCACCATATTTAGCCAGAAAACTACCTAACACAATAGTAAATTCATATGTAACAATAGAAGTATATTAATTTTTCAGCATTCCCAAATTTTTTATCACTAGATTTCTAGTTTGTATAAAAAACTAATTGTTACGGGAGACATGCTAACACTGTCTTAATGTGAATAACCATAAAAATACTATTAAAATAACTGTATAAAGCAAGCATGACTGTGGTTTAAATGTCTGTCAAGCAGTGTTCAGATGAACCACTATGAAAACATTTATGAAAATTGAGTTTTTGTTTTTTTAAAATTTTAAAACTACAATGATGGTGCGATGCCTCCATCCTGGTTGCTGGAACAATCTGGTCTTATTTTCTTATTTCTCTGTATCCAAGTGTGTTAAAGGAGTTGTTTAGCACAGGTTATATTCTGACTACTCACTAACTACAAATTTTCTTTGTATGACCTGATCTAACAGACATGACTAGAATAGCAAAGCTACATGCTAGCTTTTCCTTGGCTAATGCTTTTTTCCAGTTGTTTTTCTTTTCCTTTAGTCAACTAAAATAGTTTACTGTACTATTTTAGTTGACTGAATTTCATGAAACAATTCTCCAAAAATGTCTTTAATCTCAAATAAAATAAATATATATTCAGACTGTATCACATTACAGAAATATAACAGTATTAGGACCATGCAAATAAGAAATAAAATAAAATTACAAGAATAAACTTGTACAAGAAAAAAGTCATAATGTTATGAGAATGCAGTCAATATAATATGAGAATAAAGTTGTAGTATTATGACTTACTTCCCATGCAACTTTATTGTAGTTGCATGGGATTTATTCTTGTAATATATATATGTATTACAAGAATAAATCACTCAGTTAAAGAGTTTGATCCACCACCACTAACAAAACAATAATTCATGTTGAGTTAAGACGTTTATCTCCGTCCAGACTACAAGTATGCAGAAACAGCCTTTAAACAGGGAAGGGGTCAAACAAGAGGTCAAGTGTGTAGAAAATAGTAAATAAATTAAAAAAAAACTTAATTTGCACTTACTTGGCTTGCAGCATTTAGTATTTGCTTGCAGTCGTGTTTGATTTAGATTGTTTTTAAAGAATAAATGCATCAAAATGTACATCTCTATTTACTGTATATGTGCTGTTTGTTCTAACTTTCTGAGCCAAAATAAAATAAACACTGAAGTCGCTGAAATGATTCTTGAATGTAATGTTTTTAGAAAAAAAGAAAGAATATTAAGGACTAATTTGTTTATTTTTCTGGCAATAAAACTGTGCATTTATGTTTATTTTCATCTACAGTATGTCAATGTTTCTTAACTGGCTTGTTGTGCATTATTCTGTTTATCTCTTTGTTACGCACCATTCCTCTGTATGTTCACACCCATGGTTACATGTTGGAAATTAAACATGATCACTGAAATCTCATCCAAGGCTGCTTTATTTTACCAGTTCCTAAATTTATGTTTCTCACATCAGGAGAAACAGAAATTTTTCCTGATGAGAAACTAGATGAGTTAATTGTTGAGAATTTGGAGCTGTTTTCCCTGGTTCATGGTGAGAAATGTCACATCAAAACATTGGAGAATGAGGACCTCTACTGGTCCAGAGGGTGAACATAATCACAGCCATTGATCCTGCTATTCTTGCTTTGGGAATAAATAAATATAAATATATTCTGTCAAATATACAGCTATCCAATAATAGTACAGTTATTTACAGTGAAAGTTGTTTCCCATCTTTCCATTTGCATCTGTGAATGACAGCCAGTATATCATTCTCAAAAGTCAGAATAAAATAAAATACAGAAGTCTTTCCAAATTGTTATTATGCTAATAAACTTGCTAACTTCTCACCATATTTAGCACAGGTTATTTGTAAAAACTGGGATCCTAAATAAATGGAAATAAATAGTCATGAAAAGTCTTCCAAAAAAAATTATATACACTTAATTATTTAACTCCAGGATGAGAGGTGAACTAATATACAATTATCTAAGTGGACAAAATGGATTATACAGTAAATATTTATTTTTTAAGGAATTCCTATGACTTTTTGAGCTGAATTGGTGGATTTAATAAACTTCTTAATAATTTGGGAAGATTGGCCTGAATATGTAAATCTAGTAAAAATGTACATTTATTTGTAAATATTTTTGAAAACACAGTTTATCCAACTTTCTCTCACTTTAGAGACGAGTGTAGTTTAGTGAGGAAATCCTACGTTTTGTTGTGCCACGTTTACGTGCGCGCTCCCGCGACGAATCCCTCGAATGGAGAACACGCCGCTGGTGAACACGCGGGGAACTTCCACCCACCACGTCGTTAAAAAGAGACACTGAAGGTTCATAAAGAGCCACTGCAATCTTTATTCCTTTTATATTTAGTTTAATTCCGGTTCTGCTTGTATTAATACCCATTTTGGGGGGTTTTATGTCGTCCCGCGAACAGGTAATGTGCAAATAAAACGGAAAAAATCTTCCGTTTGAGTAACGTAAACATTTGTGTAACGTATTATCCACATGTAAATAGAATAATAATAAAGAAAACGTTTTACACGAAAACATATAAAGATTACGTCATCAGGGGGTGTAGCATGGTTATATACCCAAATGCTCACCGTTGACAGTAGGCTCCAGTGGCGCAATCGGTTAGCGCGCGGTACTTATATGTCAGTACACTGCAGAGCAATGCCGAGGTTGTGAGTTCGAGCCTCACCTGGAGCAGTCTTTTGGTATTTCCTCCTGGAACGTTCTGCCTCTAAAATTTGGTCCGGTTCAGTAATCTGCTCTAGTTATACGTTTTTGGTTCTATATTCTGGTTGTGTCTGTAGATACTCTTTAAAAAATTAAATTCAAACCAGTAAGGAAGCTGAACGTGGACAGCATTGTCCTCGCATTGATGTCTTGTCTTTCTGCCTGAGTTAATACAAATGTTTGAATATTTTAATGGTATCCTAATAGTTAGTATAATAATTATTAATTATTATTATTAATTATTATTATTATTATTATTATTATTATTATTTAGCATTTTGTCAATTTCTTAGCATTCAGTTTATGATTACTGTACTTGTAGGTAGTCTTTAATTTATGTTTCATTTTGAAATATTTAAATACTGATGCATTTTAACAATGCCCGCACAGTTTTCTGTGTGTATTCTTAAGCAGTATTTTATCTAGCAGTGTAGATTTAGTTTCACAAACAGCAGGGGGCAGTAGCGCTCCATCTGCACAGACCGACAACCAGAGGAAAAATAGTTTGTTTTGAAATATGACTTCAATAAAGACATATGACAGTTATTTAAATATTGGCCTCTGTGGTATATGATCTAACCTGTTAGGCTGGTATTATTTTTGATATTACAACTAAAACATATTGTCAAAAATTTTTGGTTTTAAAATAACTGGAAGGAAAATATAACTATTTTTATGAAAGTGATCCAAATCGTGAAAGAATTGAGTGAAAATAGTTTAATTTGTTGAATTTAATTATTGACTTTGCAGTTACACGTTTCCCCGCCAGAGGCCGCTGTTGTCCACCATTTGGACATTCCTCTTTTCTTTGTTTTTATTTTTTCCCGCTCATTCTTGAATCTAACTGGCTGGATGTCCTTTTTGAATAAAAACAAGTTGATTTCTTCTTCTTCTTTACCCACTTGTGCTTTCTGTGTCCTCATCTCAATTCCTATTTTTCGTGACAGCATTTTAAAAAATGCAGATAAAAATGTTATCTTCTGTTCTCTGTATGTTAAATGTGTGCCTTCATGCATGCATAGTGTTTTGTATTATGTGAATGTTATTTCACTGGGTGTAAAAATGAAATGATCCAAAAAATTACTTACTACACAAAGCAAAAATAAACATAAAAATGGATAAAAACATAAGAATTACATATTTTAATTGACTTTCAAAACAACAAGATTAATTCAAGCAAAAAAAAAAATTGAGGTTGACATTTAAAACAGTCAAGCAAATACATGTTTTTCATGCTTTCATTGCTTTCTCTAATCTGTACCTGTTTGTGTAAACACGGCCATGTTTTGTTTTCCTCTCCATTCTTCCACGGTAAACTTGAGTTGTTGCAACTTGTGTTTCCATCAAACACAAAACAAAAGAAACCCACAGCCAACAGAAAAGTAACACTAAGCTTTAAAGGTCCAAAATATGTTCAACTGGAATCATTCTCACAGTTTCAGTGTTTACAAAATCACATTTTGGATGCAAGATCTGTCTTTTATAGTCCAGGAACTGGATCCTTTATTAGATTTATTAGGTACTTCTGTTCTTATTACCACAAATGTTGAATCGACATGGGAGCAACTCAATGCCTTTAGGTGTTTAGAAGTTGTGAAATGGACAAACATGAACTGACAGTTCACGTAGGTTCGACAAAATCGGAGAATAACAGATTGGAAAAAAGCTGCCTCATCCGATGAGCCTCAATTTTAGCCGCCACATTTAAACAGACATGTTATGATTTGGCATAAACAAAATGAAGGCAGGGATCCGCCCTGCCTTGCATAACCGGTTCAGCCTGGTGGTTGTGGTTTAATGGTGCAGGAGAAGTTTTCTTGGTGCACTTTTTGTCTGTTTGTACTGCGTATCTCTGGTAATTGCAGGACTGCAACCATCCACAAATATCTAAATTGTGCAAATACTCGACATCCACCTTTAAAACATAGTTAAACACCAAATATATGGTAATATGCATTAATACGCACAGTGGAAACCATCTTAGCACTGCTGCAGAAGCTGCTCTTTGGGAACAGCCAATCAGCTGCAGAGAAAATGAAGGAACTCCTGGATTGGCTGGTTTGCAGATGCTAACTGATAGCATGTGAAGTCGCTTTGGTATTTTAGCTTCCCAAGCTGCTTTTCATTTGAATATTTCAGATTTGTTCCACACAGTACTCCATACACAGGCAAAAAACAAAAGCAATATCAGGAAAATATAGTAAATTTGGGGTATTTAACATGCCTGTTCCCTAAAAGTGTGAGTTTAATGCATTTGGTATTTTCTTTTGGTGTTTTGTTTTTGGTCTGCATTTATTTTAGTAGGGAGCACAGCTTAACTCAGATGAATGGACTTTGAAGGGTAAATGGTAAGTTTACAACTTTTATCCTTGTTTCTTGTGTCAGAAAAGATTTCTCTGTCAATTTTCAGAAAATTTTATCTTCTATATCCATGTTTCTATTGATCCTATAATTGTACAATTTAACATTTTGAAAATAAATTGCAATAGAAACACTTTTTTCAGATCAACTCGATCAACAACAGGATGTTACTACTGACCAAAACCATGAAGAAGAAAACAGGAAGTAGTTGGAGTCTGTTTTTTAATGACATATCGCATGAATAAACTCTTTCACGTGTGATTTTAATAGCATTTTGTCTTTGATGGAAACAAAGCAATTGTGAAACTGTGTTTTTTCAACATTAGCAAGATGTTGGCAAAGTTTTGCCCACATTTGTGATGGAAACTCAACTGCATTTGTTAATAAGAGACCCATAATAAAGAAATAATAATAAGTTACAAGCAGTTTAAACTTCCTTCATCTGCTGTGTGGAAGGTTCTCCATCCAGAAACTGTTTGCTAATTTCTCTGGTTTTCTGTCAAAATCCTTGCTGAAAAAAGCAAAGTTCTTGACCTTAAAGTTAAAAAGTCATTCCTCCTCATTGAAAAACAGGCTCCTGGAAGAAAATGACAGGTCATAGAGGTCGACTAGTTTCACTGTAGGTTCACATCAACCAACTCTGTCCATCTAAAGTACATTTTTTGTCATCATGTGTTTGGGCGTCATTTTTATATTCTCTCTTATGGTTTCCACATGTAGCAGTCAGATGGTACCATCATCAGATGGAACGGATGATGATGATGATGAGTGTGATAAAGGAAAGTAAACAAAGCTTTGTCTGGGAGTGCGTAGATGTTATGCTGAGACCTGTTTCATATTTCTGCCCTGATTTCCCCTGCAGCAGTAAATGTCTTGATTCAGTGATGCAGATCTGTGTGGTCTTCTCAGATTGAGCTATCATATCTTCCACCACGCCTTTCATTTGCCGTTTAATTAAAATAAACGTGTCGTGGGAGCAGTTTATTTACGTGTTCAAGCTGTAGGAAATCTGCGACAGTGAGCCGGGATCTTTAGGTCCAAGGCCGACCCCCTACTGCTCCAACCATGCAGCTATGTGCCAATAACTCCCATCTGTGTTTGGTTAGTGTTGAGTGTAGATGCACCATCTAGCTGTGTGACGGCTCCTAGGCCCAGCTGTTATGTATGGCAGCCTGTGGGGCTATAATTATCATCATTAGTGTTTTTTTTTCACTTTCTTTTTTATGTTTTTTTCTTCTTCTTTTAAGCCTGGAGCGACTTCACTGATTAAGTATCGATCAACTCACCATTGAAAGGAAGTGAGGTTTATTAT